TGCAGTTTCCGGGTCATCTTCAAAGGTAGCCCCACGTAGAGCGCATTGCAGTAGTCCAAGTGAGAGATAACTAGAGCATGCACCACTCTGGCCAGACAGTATGCGGGCAGGTAGATAAAGGAAATTTTGATTTTTCTTATGCTCTTGCAAAGAGTCTTTAAGCACAACCATGCGCGCCAGTGTTATTCTTTGACATCGTCCGCCTGTCCAAAGGCTCGGGACAAGCAAAGACATTTAATATAAAGAGAGTCGTTAAGATGCTCAGAAATGTCAGGATCTGCCAGAACGCACCAGTCTGCATGTCCACTGGTGACCATCTTAGTTCACATGGCAATGGGTTTCTCCTGCACAACCATCGTAACTCAGGAAGAGGCCTCGAGAGAAATAACTTCCTGTCTGTGGCAGCTGCTGCTCCGCAAAGGACCAACTTTGACCTGGATAAGTCAGCACTTTTGGGCTCTGAAAGTCCTGCTAAATCAAAGGCAAGGCAAGGAGAGAGAGAGAGAGAGAGCCAAGCAGGGAAATGGCACAATAAACTTCTCGCTGTGAGCAATACTAAAACCACAGCTTGGCAGGGGCTGGCGGAGGCCAGGCTGATTCCTTTCTCCTTTATTAAAGCACTCCGGATACAGGTTAACCATCCTTGTTCTGGATTTATTGTTCTCTTTTGGCCCCGCGAGTTCTGAGACGTGCCGAACAGGTTACTGGCATCCTCTGCTCTCAAATCCTTTCTATGAAAAACTCGTAGCAATAACGGATGTTATTGTCATTGCGGCGATTCTTTTTATCTGTGCTCTAACCAGCAACTCCCTCCCACCACATTCAGGGCGCAATGTGGTGCTTTATTGCCAGGCATTGTGTCGATCCCTGTAGCTATTTTGGCTTCCCAAAATATCTATGTACAGCTTGCTTTCCCTAGAAGCGGCTCAGAGTGGGAGCCTTGTACAGCAACAGAACGTAAGAACGTAGGTTTCTGTTGTTGGCAGCCGTCTGTCTCGGAGGACAGTGGAGGAGTGTGCTTTCAGGGGTTAAGCCAAACCATTGGAAGGTCGCAGCTCCTGCCGTGGCTGTAGATACCAATGTGGGAGAGACATATTTTGTTGCAGCTGGGGCAGATGAAGACGCCCGGTTGTGCTGGTGCAGATGCACCAAAGCATTTCTTCTCTATGCACTGCTCCCAGTGGTCATTTCTCCTCTGGTTACTGCAATGGATGCATGACCTGTCTCCAGGCACTGCGGTCCTCTGCAAGCGATTGTTGGAATTCCTGCTCCATGATTGCAGTCATGGGATTGTTGTCTTTCACATGACGGTATATGTTTTGACGCCACAGAGTGGGAAGTGACGGAGACAGGATGTTTGTGTTCCTGTGTTCCGTGAAGTGGAACTATTGTCCTTTGTTCTTTTTCTCTTTGCTGTCTGATGCTAGAGAGAGAGGGAGCCATGTTGCAGTGCTCCATGTGTGTTTATATGTAAATAAAGTAGATTAGCCAAAATGCTGAGTTGCTGAGGTCTGTCATGCATGATGCGCAAACTCTGGGGATCCCTAAGTGTGCCGGTGTCTGTTGGCATCAGTCGCTGTGATGTTTGGGCTGAAGAAAGCTTTTGAAGCTCCCGAACGATTGACCAGGAGGGAGGAAAAATGGCAGTCGGGCATGTGTCTCTGCCAGGGTGCTACTCGAGTGTAGGCTGAACTTCTGACACCGATTACCCCACAGAAGGGTTGATGTTGTCAGCATTCATGTCACATTTGCAGACATATTTTTTTCTTTTTTTTAAAAGCATCTTCCTTGAAAATTCAAAAAGCACATAATTTCATGTGCACTAAACATAGTGAGACGTAAATAAAAGAGAGAGAAACAGAACCGTGTAGAAGGAAAAATAGAGGGGGGGAGCCCCAAACTGTATACTTTACAAGGTCATGGTTGTACTTCACCAAACCTTAACCCCCATCGTTCTGCCTGGACACTGAGGTCCAGCTCTGAGGGCCTTCTGGTGGTTCCCTCACTACAAGAAGCAAGGTTACAGGGAACCAGGCAGAGGGCCTTCTCAGTGGTGGCACCCGCCCTGTGGAACACATTTCCACCAGATGTCAAGGAAATAAACAACTACTTGACGCTTAGAAGACATTTGAAGGCAGCCCTGTTCAGGGAAGTTTTTAATGACTGATGTTTTAATGTATTTTTAATCTTTTGTTGGGAGCCGCCCAGAGTGGCTGGGGAAACCCAGGCAGATGGGCGGGGTATAAATAATTTATTATTATTATTATTATTATTATTACTACTACTACTACTACTACTACTACTACTACTATTACTACTACAGGATGTGGGTGGCACTGTGGGTTAAACCACAGAGCCTGGGACTTGCCAATCAGAAGGTCAGTGGTCCGAATCCCCGCAACGGGGTGAGCTCCCATTGCTCGGTCCCTGCTCCTGCCAACCTAGCAGTTCAAAAGCACGTCAAAGTGCAAGTAGATGAATAGGTACCACTCTGGCGGGAAGGTCAATGGCGTTTCCGTGCGCTGCTCTGGTTCACCAGAAGCAGCTTAGTCATGCTGGCCACATGACCCGGAAGCTGTACGCCGGCTCCCTCGGCCAGTAAAGCGAGATGAGCGCCGCAACCCCAGAGTCGGCCACGACTGGACCTAATGGTCAGGGGTCCCTTTACCTTTACCTTTTACTACTGCTACAGTATTTGTAGGAATGGATTCCAAATATCACTGAATCTGCAGACATCTTTGTAATGACAGGGTTGGTCTGCCATTGGACCTGGTGCCTGAAGCCAGATTATACCGAGTGTGACCACGTAGCTCAGAACTGTCCATGCAGAAAGTCCTTCTTTAGGCAGCACATGGTAAAACTATGGCACTTGCTCCCCTAGGAGGCAATAATAATAATAATAATAATTTGTTATTTGTACCCTGCCCATCTGGCTGAGTTTCCCCAGCCACTCTGGGCGGCTTCCAATCGAGTGTTATGGCAATGACATCCACCAACCCAGATGGCTTCAAAATTAGACAAATTTGTGGAGGAGGGGATTATTGATGGCTCACTAGCCAGGATGGCTGTGCTCTGCACCTGCAGATGGAGGCAGCGATGCTTCTGACTACCAGTCCCTGGAAACTACAGGAGGAGACAGAGCTCTACTGATCAAATCCTGCTTGTGTGTTTCCCATAACGGGCATCTGGTTGGCCACTGTGAGGACAAGTTGCTGGAGCAGTTGGGCCATTGGCCTGATCTAGTAGCCTTGCCTTATGACGTTGGGCTCTCCAGGGTTTCAGGCTGAGAAGCCCACATGGGAATGCAAGGGGGTTGATCCTGGAAACTTCTGCATGCAAAGCAGAGCTGTAGCCTTTCCCCCGGTGGTCTCCCAACCAGACAAAGTAGATGGTGAGCAAACAGTTTGTTATTGGCAGGGCCCTGCTGCGATTTCTTTATTGGGAACTCTCAGAGAGAGTTGGCGGCTGTTAGCCACAATTGCCATGTCCCACATTTACTGTTGGGGGCTGGTTTTCTCTGAATACCATTTGCTAGCACAGTCAAACCTCGGCTCCCGAACGGCTCCATTTTTGAACGATTCGGCGCCCGAACACCAAAAACCCGGAAGTAAATGCTCCGTTTTTCTAATGTTTTTCAGAAGCTGGACATCCGACGCAGCTTCCGCTGAGTGGAAAATCTTTTGCAACCAATTGGAAGCCGCGATTTTGTTGTCGAACATTTCGGAAGCCAGACGGACTTCTGGAACGGATTACATTCGACAAGCGAGGTTTGAGTGTAGGGAAATTGGACTGTTGCGCTCAGGTCTGTTTTGCAGCTTCCTATTGGAGCATTGAGTTGGCCACAGTGAGAATCGGATGCTGGACTAGATCGGCCTTGGGCCTGATTCAGAACGGCTCCTCTTATGTCCTTAAAATTCCAATTTTCTGCACCAAAAAGCCTCTCTCGGTTTGTAACGTCGGTGCACATGTGTCCTTGCATACGCATGCATTATGTACATAAAGCACATTTGTTTGTTTATGGGATTTGTACTCCGCCTTTAACTGGCTGCCAGAGTGGCTGACAAAGAATTAAAATTACAGCAAGAAATCAAAACAGCTGTCCCTGCATGTAAACTGCATCTCCATTTCAAAGAATGCGCTACGGTAATTTTTGACCGTTTCACCTAGATCAGGCATGTCCAACTGGCCGATCGCGATCTACCGGTCGATCGTGGGTTGTCCGTTGTCGATCAATTGCGTGATCCTGAGTGATCACCCAAAAAAATAGAAAAAAAGAAAAGTTCAACAACTTTGGGTCTTCCTCCCCAAAGGAAGCTCAACAAATTTGGTGAAGGCTCCCTAGGGCCAGGGCCTTTTCAGTACTGGCCCCAACTTGGTGGAACGCTCTGTCACAAGAGACTAGGGCCCTGTGGCACTTGACATCTTTCTGCAGGGCCTGCAAGACAGAGCTGTTCCGCCTGGCCTTTGGTTTGGACTCAGTCTGACTCTTATGTTTCCCTCCCCTTATGGTATTGATCCATGGGCTACTTTTAAAATGAGGCTGCATTTTAAATTGCATTTTAACCTGTATTTTAAATTGGTTCCCCCCCCCATTATGTTTTTACTGTGGTTTTATTGGTGTTAGCTGCCCTGAGCCTGGCTCTGGCCGGGGAGGGCGGGGTATAAATAAAATTTATTATTATAACTTGGCTAGAGAGCTGTGCTGGGTGAATTTCAAAGGATAGCTGTCCTTCAAGTCTCGCATTACGAGGTAGCCTCACTTTTAAATGCAAAGTGAGTCCAGTCTCTCCCCCTTCCTTCTTTGCTTCACCATGAAGATCTTTAGGGATCCAGTTCAGGTGCCTTCTGTTCTCATGCACAGCTTGTTGTTGTTTAGTCATTTAGTCGTGTCCGACTCTTCGTGACCCCATGGACCAGAGCACGCCAGGCACTCCTGTCTTCCACTGCCTCCCGCAGTTTGGTCAAACTCATGCTGGTAGCTTCGAGAACACTGTCCAGCCATCTCGTCCTCTGTCGTCCCCTTCTCCTTGTGCCCTCCATCTTTCCCAACATCAGGGTCTTCTCCAGGGAGTCTTCTCTTCTCATGAGGTGGCCAAAGTATTGGAGCCTCAGCTTCAGGATCTGTCCTTCCAGTGAGCACTCAGGGCTGATTTCCTTCAGAATGGAGAGGTTGGATCTTCTTGCAGTCCATGGGACTCTCAAGAGTCTCCTCCAGCACCATAATTCAAAAGCATCAATTCTTCGGTGATCAGCCTTCTTTATGGTCCAGTTCTCACTTCCATACATCACTACTGGGAAAACCATGGCTTTAACTATACGGACCTTTGTTGGCAGGGTGATGTCTCTGCTTTTTAAGATGCTGTCTAGGTTTTTCATTCCTTTTCTCCCAAGAAGCAGGCGTCTTTTAATTTCGTGACTGCTGTCACCATCTGCAGTGATCCTGAACCCAAGAAAGTAAAATCTCTCACTGCCTCCATTTCTTCCCCTTCTATTTGCCAGGAGCTGATGGGACCAGTGGCCATGATCTTCGTTTTTTTGATGTTGAGCTTCAGACCATATTTTGCGCTCTCCTCTCCTCTCCTCTCCTCTATTTTGCGCTCTCCTCCATGCACAGCTTACCACCAAGTTAAACCCCAGTCTGGGCCAAAATCCTGCCAAATGTTCTGGCAAGAGGGGGGAGTGCGCATTCCAGAGCTCCCAAATCCCCACTGTGCCAACACACCCACCTACCCCACTGGTGCCTCACTTGCCGTTCAGATTCCCACCCCCCCTTCACAACCAATCACAAACAAACCTATAACGAGACCAAATTTGGCCTGTGCTCAAAGAGTATTTTGTTTTAACGTGATAGCAGGCTAACACAATAAAGAACGCCGGGGCAGCTGATCACCACCAAATGTGGGCTCCGGTTTTGTCTTAAAAGCTGCCGAAATCAGCGAGATGAGAGGAAACCCCCAAATGCCTAACATGTGCAAGCTATAAAGGTTCCGAACCCCGAAAGATGACAGTAATGGGGTTTGGCAGGCAGCTCCATTAAGGAGTCAAAGTTTCCAGTCTCGCCCACCTTCTCTGTGGCTGTGGTATAATTCAGTTCTGGATGCAAGGAGACGCAGACACGGAGTCGCACCACGGGCCCATTGAGTCCAATAATATCTGAAAGTGGAATTCCAAAATCTGTGCCAGACATCTCCTGCGCCCCTGAGAGGTGGGATCCTTTAAGTGGCGTTTGTTGCCAGCAGCTGGATCTGCAAACTATGAAGAATGTGGTACAGCATCTGCCTTGCTTGCAAACGGTCCCAGTTTCAGTCTCTTGAAGAGTCTCCAGATAAGAAATCACACCTCTCTGAAACCCCAGAAAGCCCACTGACAGCCAGGGCAGACCAGACAATTCCCCCAGCCAGGTGCCTGCCTCCTGTGGCAGTGAGTTCCATAGGGATTCTTTTTTTGGAGGGGGTTGCTATGAATAAGGTTTTATTTCTTTAATAAACAAAATAAACCAAAGACAAAGGGCATAAAGAAATACTGTTACAGCAGGTTTGGAAGCAGGGTAAGGTTGGACCTCGTCACTGAATTTGTTGTTCCAAAACATTACAAAAAAACCCCACCAATTTTCTCCGTAGCTTTATCATAGTCGCTGTGGACCAAATTTTCTCAGTCCATTTAGATATTGTAGGAGATACAGTTTTTTCCAGTGCTTTTTTCTGGGGGGAGAGACGCATACCCCTAAGCATTTTGTGAATCTTTGTACTTTTGTCCATTTCTGTATTTATTTTCCCCCATTTGAACTATAAAATGGTGAGATTACCTTTAAACATTTTTTTAAAGAAAAAAGCACTGTTTTTTCTTTCTTTTGATTTTTAGCTATTAAAAAAGCATTTGGCTGTTCAGAAAGATTGCGGCCTCCAGTTGTGAAGAGCGTTGCCAGTCTGACTAGCAGCCTTCTCCTCCTCCGTGAAATTCCCCAATCCTCTTTTAAAGCCATCCGGGTTTGTGGCCATCACTGCTTCCTGTGGCGGGGAGTTCCACAGTCTCACCATGTGCTGTGTGAAGATCCTCCGACAAACCAGTGAGGACATCTGTGCCAGTCTCAATTTACCCTCTGGGAGCAGACCCAAGCGATGCCTCCTGGTTTAGTTGGTCCCATCCGCCTCCTGTAGGAATGATCGCTGGGTTGTGGAACACACTTCCGCCCGCAGGCAGCCTCAGCTGTCTGCGTGCGTGACCTTGGGGTGTGGAGCACACTCCCCGCCCCCGAGATAAAGCCACAGCTGTCTGAACATCATGCCCTCTATCTAACCTTTGCTCTCTTAGTGGTCTTCCGTGCCCTGTCTGTGACCTTAGTCTCCTTCGTCACACATTGTGCAAGGGGGAAATGACGCAGTGGAAACAGGTGCCATTATAACTTTGTACCACCCCACGATCTCAGGATTGGAAGATGTGTAAAGGTCACAGTCCAAAATGTATCTGACTGGTTTTGCATATTGTGCCAATAAAAGGAGCTTCTGCAGAGCTAGCCACCAGCTTGCCTGAGCACAGCTCACCTGCATTACAACTCCTGCCTCATGTCCTTCACTTCAACTACGATCCCTAGCCTAGAGGAGAGCAGAGCCAAAAGATTGCCCCTCGCCGGCCAGAGACTTCCTACCACCATGTGACGTTGGATTGTGACGTGGATGTCAAAAGTAAGCGGAGTTATCTGTCCTGAATCTTCCAGCACTCAACTTCAATTTCTCTACGATTGTTTTTGCTGTTGTTGTTGTTGTTAAATTTAATTTACAGTGGTACCTCTGGTTATGTACTTAATTCGTTCCAGAGGTCTGTTCTTAACCTGAAACTGTTCTTAACCTGAAGCACCACTTTAGCTAATGGGGCTTCCTGCTGCCGCCACGCTGCCGGAGCACGATTTCTGTTCTCATCCTGAAGCAAAGTTCTTAACCCGAGGTACTATTTCTCCGTGAGTAGACTCTGTAACCTGAAGCGTATGTAACCCGAGGTACCACTGTATATTCCTGCCCTCAGTTGATGATCTCAGAGCAGGGATTCATGCCACACATACTTTTATAAGCTTCTATCACATTGCCTCTGACTCGCCTTTTCTCTAAACCAGTGGTTCCCAACCTTTTTTTGCCCATGCCCCACCTAAAGACAGCAGGTGGCGCTGTGGTCTAAACCACTGAGCCTCTTGGAATTGCCGATCAGAAGGTCAGTGGTTTGAATCCCCACGACGGGGTGAGCTCCCGTTGCTCGGTCACTGCTCCTGCCAACCTAGTAGTTCAAAAGCACGCCAGTGCAAGTAGATAAATAGGTACCACTGTGGCAGGAAGGTAAACGGCATTTCCATGCGCTCTGGTTTCCGTCACGGTGTCCCGTTGCACCAGAAGCGGTTTAGTCATGCTGGCCACATGACCTGGAAAGCTGTCTGTGGACAAACTCCGGCTCCCTCAGCCTGAGAGCGAGATGCGCGCCGCAACCCCATAGTCGCCTTTGACTGGACTTAACCATCCAGGGGTCCTTTACCTTACCTAAACATATCTAAAATCCTGATGCCCCACCCTCTGACCAACATATAATTCTTATTATTCAAAAAGTGAATTCCTTTTCATGTGCAGGAAGCCTAAAAGGCCATTAACTTAGTCTAAACAAGCTTCCAAACAACATGGCATCCATGAAAAAGAAAAGAGCGAAAGGGCAGTTGAAGTACTGTCCATTGTCACCAGCTGACCATGTGTACATTCTGATTTTAATTTTAAAAACGTGCATGTCACAATATATATTTAATACTGTATGTGAGGTCCCTAGAAGCATAAGAAATGAAAAAAAAAAATCACTGTTAATAACTCATTCCCGAATTGCCCCCCTTAAAAATCATATTGCCCCCCTGTGGGAACCACGGCTCTAAACTGAGACGTTCCAAATGTGGCAGCATTTCCTCATCAGGGAGTAGCTTCTCCTTGATCATTCTGAGTGCCCTATCCTGAACATTTTCCAACCCTTTGTGGTGTGGAGGCCAGCACTGCCCCCTTTGCCCTCTCCTGAAGCAGAGAGGATATGCATGGTTCCTCTCTTCTCTTCCAGCACTGGAGCCCCTGCTGTAACCACTGCATCGCACTGCCTCCCTCCTCCTGCCCATTGCAATCTACATTTTTATAAGCCGCACAGCATGGATTCCAGGCTACTGCAATCTGCAGCAAGCCACTAAAACCTGCCCATAAACCATCTCCAAACTTCCTTGTTATAACTAACCCTACATTAAGAAGGAGGCTGGGCTTTTTACAGCGCTCTTTGATTCCGAAATCTACAATGAAATGGATATAAGATACAGCAATGAATCTCGGCTAGGAGACATTTAAACAGAACCGGCATAAACTTTAAAGCCTCTCGCTTTTTTATTTTCCCCTCCCTCCTCTGCACTCTCTATCTCTCTTTAAAAAGTTATTGCTCTTCATCCCCCCTCCTTTCCTTTAAAAAGGGACGGCTACCCCCTGCCTGACAATGTCTGTTCTATAAATCCAGGGGAACAAAGCGACGTTCAGATCAGCAAGGCGACGGGCAGAGAACAAAGGCGGATTCTGACAGGAGCGCTTGGGCTTTCATCCCCCCAGGAAAAATTATTAGTAGAGCGCGGAGAATGACATCACTGCTTTCCAGATGTGAATTTCATATTTGGATCGCACAATCGGCAGGCGTTGGAAGGGAGGCGGCACGAGACGAGCGCCAAGGTCAGGCCAAGGGAAGGTAACACATACCACGGCGTCCTCTGTTGTGGGGGTGCAGACCTGGATCCGACAGGTGGGCTGGATCCTGTCTTTCTTCACCCCACACGGGGCAAGTCTGGCAGGTGATTAGAGCTGCGTACCTGTCAGTCAGCTGACATCACAATGACATCAGCTGACCTGTTTTTCCAGAGCTTTGCAAGCCCTGGGAAGCAGCTGCTCACCGGGCTTTCAAAGCTTCAGCAACCCAAGGCTTTTCACAGGGCTTGGCAGGTGCTGTCAGTCAACTGGTTGGCATTGCTTGCAGCACAACCCTCCCACCCCCCAACTTTGACCCATACACATATACCACAGGAAGAACAAGGGCACATTATAGGATTTACTCCAAAAATCTTCTCTGAAAATTGCCTGAAGGTCAGCCCTTGCAAGATACAGTCATACCTTGAGTTGAATATGCTTCGGGTTGAGCGTGTTTGAGTTGCTCTCCACGGCAACCCGGAAGTAACGGAGAGCGTTACTTCCGGGTTTCGCCGCTCGCGCATGTGCAGACGCTCAAAATGACGCCACGCGCATGCGTGGAAGCGGCAAAACACGACCCGCACACGCACAGATGCACCGTTGTGTCTTGCGTTGGGTTCAGGATGCGAATGGGGCTCTGGAACGGATCCCGTTCACATCCCGGGGTACCACTGTACATGCTTTTCCACCCCACTCCACCCACCCATCGTAAAGATAGCTGTCAACCTTCCCTTTTTTTGCGGGAAATTCCCTTATTCCAGTGCCGTTTCCCATTGCTTCCCGCTGCTATCCCGGATTGTTAGATATCCCTTAGACTGCCCCCGGGACAGGTGGGGCTGCTGATCCCTTATTTTCAAGGCTGCTGATGCCTTATTTTCAAATCTGAAATTTGACAGCTATGGTCGTAAAGACCACTCGTCCTTTGCTAGTGGGCAAGAAAACCGACAGCCTCACACACAAGTCCTGAAAGCTCTGGAACAAGATGGCCGCTTCTCGACAAATTAGAACTGCTTAGTTGTTTTTTACCAGCGAAAGAGATAATTTTGCTCTAACGGTGGTTTTAAACTCTTCCATTTACTTAGCGGCGCAGAGAAAAGAGATGAAAATGAGCGCGAATGCCGGGGCCTGCCCCCTCTTCTCCCTAAATGTCTTTTCATCTCCTTCGCCTCCCGGTGTGTTAATAGCTTTCTGCTTTCATGGTGCAGAGAGCTGCGTTTGCTGACCCAGCAACCCAATCTCCTGCTGAAACACCACAGCCCTCGCTGAGGAGGGTTATTAGCACGCCATGGCAAAAGCAAACAGGCTGATGGGATTTTAATGGGCTCCTAATGGGTCAGCACCACGACTGGCAGCCGCCATGAGGAATAGCTGCACCCAGACCCAAGTCTGCCTCTCCACCTCCTTCCCTTCCTTGTCTGCAACCTGAGAGCTCATCACATCCCCGTTGTGATGTTTGATTCTGTAGTGGAAGGAAGGATCGCTGCTACATGGTGGCCCTTGTTTTCATGGGCCCCTTTCCTTGACCTGAAACACCAGGGAAATGTTCCTCTACTGTGTGAGAGCATCAGCAGAGCCCTGCAAGATCAGGCCACTGGTCCATCTACTCCAGCATCCTTTTTTTACAACGGCCAACCAGATGTCTCTAGGAAACCCACAAGCAGGACTCAAGCCCAAGAGTTCTCTCAGCTCCGGCGGTTGACAGCAACTGGTATTCAGAAGCATTGCTTTCTCCAGCTGCGGAGGCTGTCAGGTGTGCGTGCAGGAGCCAGGCCCTGTGACCAGTAGGGCTTCGCAGGACTGGGGCCTTCCTAAGTTTGTTCTGGAGAGGCAAGGCACGGCCGCACAGGTGAGGCCGATTGGTAACTCACAGCACCTGGTGGCAAGAGCCGGGAAGGGATATAAGGTCAGCATTTCCCTTCGGCTTTTTGCCACAGCAACATGTTCCCTGCCTTGCTGCGTTTAACTCCTTGCTTCTTGAGCCTCGGACCCCTGGCTTCGTGACTCCTTGCTTCTTGATCCTTGGACCCCTGACTCCTGACTCCTTGATCCCTGGACCCCTGACTTTGTGACTCCTTGCTCCTTGATCCTCGGACCCCTGACTTCATGACTCCTTGCTTCTTGATCCTCGGACTCCTGACTTCGTGACTCCTTGCTTCTTGATCCTCGGACCCCTGACTTCATGACTCCTTGCTTCTTGATCCTTGGACCCCTGACTCCTGACTCCTTGATCCTCGGACCCCTGACTTCATGAAGCCTGGCTCTGACCCTCGGACTCTTGGCTTCCTGACTCCTGGCTTCTGGACCCCCGTTCCTGCTCCCACCCCGCCATCTTGCCCCCGGTCCCAACATCCCCAGCCGGGACTTTGATCGCCTGTGAACCGGACCGTGACAGAGGCAGAGCACAGCCATTAGGGCTAGCAGCCTTGGATAGCCCTCTTCTCCATGAATTGGTCCATTAAATCCATCTAGGTTGGTGGCTATCATTGCTTCCTGAGGCAGCGAGTTCCACAGTTTAACCATACACTGCATGAAGAAGGACTTCCTTCTATCTGACCCTAATCTTCCAACTTTCAGCATCGTTGGGTGTTCACAAACTCTAGTGTTATGAGAGAGGGAGAAATTCAGACCCTCCAAGTGTCCCTATTTCCAAGGAAAAAACCTGGATTTACAGAAGCCATCCCAGTTTCTGACTTTATCCTGGAATGTCCCGCTTTTCCTTAGGATGTCAGACAAATGTTGGAGGGGATGGAAATCTATCCTCTTTCTTCCCACTGTGCATAATTTTGTACACTTCAATCTTCTTCGCCGTTCCCTAAACTAAAAGGTTCTGAATGCTACAACTTTTCCACATGGGGGGGCCACTCCATAGTTGCATGCCCAGACATCCCCACCCCCCACCCTGGCCCTATGGACCACCCAAAATCCATGAATAATGAGACACGGCAACTAATGTTTAGGTCAAAATCAAGCCACAGCTTTATTGAGTGCAGATGTAAGAAGTTTGGCATAGGTGTTGGGTAGAACCAACCACTTCTGGCCCGCCTGCCGGAAGGTCTTAGATTTGGGGTCAACCGGAAGTGAAGGAGTCCTTGATCCACATCAAGGAGTCACTGGATTGCACCTGGGGAGTGTGGGATGTGATACATAAGTAGCAGTCAAGTACAATATTCCTTGTTTTCCTAGAGTGGACATGCGGGGGAATGTTTGGTCCAGCCAGTTGAAAACTTCCTGTTTCCTCCTGGCTGGGACATACTTCCTTTGCATGTGAGTAGTGGTGGGCGTGACCTTACCTGCCCAGGTAACAAAAGGGCAAGGCACGCAGCAAACCCTCTCTCTTTGACTTCCTCTTTCCCATCTTCCTTTCGTTGTGTGAACTACAGTGACTGGCAGTCTGCAGTCACTGGGATTAACCCCCCATATGTGGTAAATCCACATGTATATACTTTGTAGCTAAGTCTGCCTTCAGGGATCCAACTGTGAACTGATGATGTGAGTAAACTTCTTTTATATATACCAGAGGTAGGCAAACTAAGGCCTGGGGGCCAGATGCGGCCCAATCGCCTTCTCAATCCGGCCCACAGATGGTCCAGGAATCAGTGTGTTTTTACATGAGTAGAACATGTCCTTTTATTTAAAATGCATCTCTGGGTTATTTGTAGGGCATAGGAATTCGTTCATTTTTTCCCAAAAAATATAGCTCAGCCCACCACATGGTCTGAGCCCACGGTGGACTGGCCCACGGCTGAAAATGTTTGCTGAACCCTGATATATACTTTACACAAGATTGTGGCTTGTTTATTCTTTTAAGAGAGATTAAAAGGGAACTTACCAGGAACCTAGGGACGCTGTGGTCTAAATCACAGAGCCTAGGACTTGCCGATCAGAAGGTCGGTGGTTCGAATCCCCGCGACGGGGTGAGCTCCCATTGCTTGGTCCCTGCTCCTGCCAACCTAGCAGTTTGAAAGCACGTCAAAGTGCAAGTAGATAAATAGGTACTGCTCTGGTGGGAAGGTAAACGGCGTTTCCGTGCACTGCTCTGGTTCACCAGAAGCGGCTTAGTCATGCTGGCCACATGACCCGGAAGCTGTACACTGGCTCCCTTGGCCAATAAAGCGAGATGAGCGCCACAACCCCAGAGTCGGCAACAACTGGACCTAATGGTCAGGGGTCCCTTTACCTTTACCTTTTACCAGGAACCTAATATTGAGATGCTTAAATAAGCCTGCAACCAGTTATTTGCTGTGCATTTAAAAGGGGAATGTTTTTAAAGAAGTAAAACTCTGCTAAGTTATAGAACTTGCTAGAGCAAGTTAGGACGGATATGAATAAACAATATATCCTCTCCTGCCTCCCTGAACATTCCTGCAGGGAGTGCTGTGGCCCTAGCCCTGTCCAGACAGAAACCTCTCCCACTTCTGAGCCCACCCCCTGGGAGTGACCTGTCCCCTCGTCCCGCTCACAATTGGCCAGCTGAGCGATCGGGCAGGATCCGCTTCCCAGGCGGCAAGCTCAGTCCAAGGACTTCCTTTGCTGCCCGGTAAGCAGCCCAAGGGGCCCCGTCCGTCAGATCGTGGAGGGTGGATGGAAAGGTGACCCGCAAACAGTGCCCACCCAGAAGGGTTGAGGGGACTTCTCAGGAGCAAGAGCAGTTAGAAAAAGGGCAACCTCAAAGCTGCTCTTGCTCGCTTGGCAGGGAGGGAATTCAACTTCTGTTAGAAAGGGTTGGCAGAGTAGTATTGCAGAACCTGTGATAAATGCAATCCTATCATTGCATCTACAAGTCTCATTTATATGGAAGGCTGACCAGCTGGAAATGGGCCTTGTCTGTTCTGTTCCTGCCATCCCCTGTGAAAGCAATATGAGTTCTTGAGCCTGATTTAGAAGCAGCCCCATTTTTTTTTCATGTTTGAATGAAATGCCTGGAGGTTCTGATATCCTAATTAATGATTCCCCGGGGCTGACTCCTGGGCAGGCATCACTGGATTGCTGCCTAAAGCTACAATCCCATCTGGCCCTGTTTAGGAGCAAATAGCTTTGAACTCCGAGGAGTTTTCTTTGGAGCAGCGTGTGAAAGGTTGGGTTGCATGCGAGGAGAAAATATCAGCCACTTTGCAGCCTTCTCTTATTCTGAAATGGACAGTTTGTGGCAGGTATGGGGAACCAGGTTGATGAAACACAACTCCCAACCGCAAGGATGGCCAGTGGCAAGGGATGATGGGAGTCGTAGTTCAGGAAATATCTGGAGGGCCAGAGGTTGCCCACACCTGGCTTATAGGATGCTTATTGGAAAGATCCTGCTTCTATTGGACAATGCAACCCTCAGAAAAGCATCCTGAGTGGATTTGGGTTGTGTTTTTTTACCATGAGTAATTTTCTGGGAAGTATATAAATAAATTTCATGTTGTTTTCTTACATAAAGCAATCCAACATCTTAAATTCTAATTATTACTATTATACCAGTGTGGTGTCCCTCCTATGCCACTCACAAGGCAACTTTGTTCTTAATGAATTTACTAAATAGTTTAAGATTCCAGTCCAATTAATGTTAACTCAGAAGTGAAGCCCAACGAAGCTCAATTGGCCTTACTCCCCGGTAAGTATAGATCTGTAGCCTAAATCTTATTAAGACTGTATTTCAGAAACATGTGTGATAATGTTTAAATTAAAACAAGTAAATAGAATAAGAAAAAAGCATACTTTTTATAATGTAAAAATTCACAGGTAAGAATAGAAGAATTGTCCTCCCTGTCCACAAATTCTGAAATGGACAGAAGAGGGAGGAGGAGGAGGAGATAATGAAGATGATGATGATAAGAATGAAGGAGGAGAAGAAGAAGAAGAAGAAGAAGAAGAAGAAGAAGAAGAAGAAGAAGAAGAAGAATGCTGTGGTGACAATGAAGATGGTGATGAAAACAGAGGAGAAGAAGATGTTAACTTTCTGATTTACTCCTTTCCTTATAATTTAGCCCTTGGTTTCCCCTCATTTCCAAGTCTGCTAATTACAGGAGTGTCTGGCGTGCTCTGGTCCATGGGGTCATGAAGAGTCGGACACGACTAAACGACTAAACAACAACAACAACATACTGGAACAAGATATCCTGCATTTATGGTGTTTCTGCAGCCCTGTGTACCCAGTTTGTTATTAAATAATAAAACTTCCCGGAGCAACGCAGACCCAATCGGTGAATTCCAATAAGGCTACACTTCAAGGGTAGGTCTGGTCACAGAACTGCCAGCAGGAGATCCCTCTCCTGTAGATCTCAAACAAACACACACCCACACCCCACTGGGCAAGTCTATCTGAGAAGAGAGCCTTGTCCTTGCAAGGTTCTGGGCCACGATTCGGGCTGCTCCTCTCCTCCCCTCCCGCCAGAGCCCAGCCCTTCCATCTGGTGGGGTGCCTATTCAGCACTTACTCGAAATTGCTTTCCCAATTGCGCTGAGCTGTACCTGCTGCAATATTAAAAGGTTATGGAGGTTTTATGGAGGCCTGCCACTGACAGTGCCTATGAATTTCAATGCCATTTGCATTGCAGGCGAGAGAGCCAGCGTTATCTCCCAAATCTCTTGCGTCCGCAGGCTCCTGGCACTTTCTTTAAAGCTTCCATGAATCCCCACGAAAAGCAGCTCCCAGTCACGCTTCCACCTGGGGAAAAAGACATTGTGATCTTAAGATCAAGAAATGTCTTGCGGGATCATTAGCAGCTCACTTAGTCCAGTATCACTGAGCAACAGGAAGCAACTATATACCAAGGTAAAGGTAAAGGGACCCCTGACCATTAGGTCCGGTCGTGGCCAACTCTGGGGTTGCGGCGCTCATCTCACTTTATTGGCTGAGGGAGCCGGCATACAGCTTCCAGGTCATGTGGCCAGCATGACTAAGCCGCTTCTGGCGAACCAGAGCAGCGCACGGAAATGCCGTTTACCTTCCCGCCTGAGCGGTACCTATTTATCTCCTTGCACTTTGACGTGCTTTCGAACTGCTAGGTTGGCAGGAGCAGGGACCGAGCAATGGGACCTCACCCCATCGCAGGGATTCGAACTGCTGACCTTCTGATTGGCAAGCCCAAGAGGCTCTGTGGTTTAACCCACAGTGCCACCTGCATCCCTGTACCAAGGTAAAAAGGTAAAGGTAAAGGGACCCCTGACCGTTAGGTCCAGTCGTGGCCAACTCTGGGGTTGCAGTGCTCATCTCACTTTATTGGCTGAGGGAGCCGGCATACAGCTTCCAGGTCATGTGGCCAGCATGACTAAGCCGCTTCTGGTGAACCAGAGCAGTGCACAGAAACACCGTTTACCTTCCCGCTGGAGCGGTACCTATTTATCTACTTGTACTTCGTGCTTTCGAACTGCTAGGTTGGCAGAAGCAGGGACTGAGCAACTGGAGCTCACCCCGTCACGGGGATTCGAACTGCCAACCTTCTGATCGGCAAGTCCTAGGCTCTGTGGTTTAACCCACAGCGCCACCTGTGTCCCAATATACCAAATAGGCAGCTTGAAATCATTGAGCCCAAGTTTGGGAAACACTGATGTGCTCCAATGCCCTGCAATGCAGAAATCGCCACTAAAGAATCCCTGACAGGTGGCAATTTGGCCTCTGCTTAAAAGCCCCCAATACCAAGATGAAGGTCTACTAGGTTTGTGTCTTGAGCTCGCTGCTTGATGGAAGTGAGTCGTGGGCAGCTTACAACCTCCAGGAGCAACACATCCAAGCCTTCCACATGTGCTGTTTCAGGAAGACTTTGAGCACCACAGGGCAGGACAGAGTCTCAAACAAAGATGTGGTCTCCCACACCCACATTCCCAGCATGTTCACACTCCTGTCTCAGTGTCATCTAGGCTGGCTAGGCCAGAATTTTAGGAGCAAGAAATTGGAAAAACACAACAATACCCAACATGGAAGATTGGCAAATCCTAATGGTAGAATATCTGCAGCTAGGAAAAACGACAGGAAGAGTAAGAGGTCAACCAAAACAAAAAGTCTATAAGGATTGGAGAATCTTTAAAGAATATTTAGAAAACCATGGAATAAAAGGAAACATCTTGGCATAATTAGACTGATCCCTGTATTGTATAAATATAAGTTTGTAGGGAGGTACAAAGAAATTATATATGAAATATATAACAGTGTGGTATAAAGTAATGGATAGAAAAAGTACAGTGAGATTAATTGGAGGTCAGTTTTAAATTTCTTTTCTATAAATTTTATAATTGTGTTCAATACCAGGAGTATATATGATGATAATTATATTAATCTTCTTATATCTTATAGTGTGGTGGTTTGTTTGATTTTTCTGTTATTTGTTTGTTTGTTTGTTTGTTTGTATGTTTGTTTACTTGTCTGTACATCTGTTTTTCATAAATGTATTTATTATAAATTAATAAAGATATATTTTTTTAAAAGAATATGTAATGAGCACTGATCCTTAGCCCACATCTTGTGTTTGTATTGTTGTGATTGGTTCTTATTGCAACAAAGGGGTTTGTTTCTGAGTCATGTATCCACAGCAGTGACCAGAGGAGGAATGACGACTGGGAGGAGCACAGAACAGCAAAACTGGACTCCTTCCTCTGCCCCAGCTGCAACAAAACATGTCTCTCCCTTATCAGTCTCTGCAGCCACTGCAGGTGCTGTAACTCTCCAACAGTTTGATGTCACCCCCAAAGGTGCACTCCTCCATTGTCTCCTGAGACAGACAGATGCCAATAAAAAATCAGTCCTAATTTATCTCATTGCACTCTCATATGCAGTTCAGCAAATTATGCTTTTTCCTGACGGAAAGAGAGTTAGCATTCGGATTCCTGCTGGCATTTTGAATTGTACCTTTATTAATCATTGTTGTGTGGTTTTGATGTTTGCTCTGCAAGCCTCTTTAGAGGGTTTATACTAGAGGAAGAGAAAGTGGGACACAGATCGATAGAATAAATAAAACAAACTTGTTGGCTTCAAAGAACTTTGTACCGCTTTAAAAAAAAAACAGTTTGAAAAGGAGATACTGCTCTTGGTTGGGAAACTAGATAACTCGTTACTTCCATTTGGGAGATGAGTGTTTGCTTTTAGAAGACGAAAACTGGGTTGGGCATGTTGCAACGAAGAGATGTTCCGTTCAGTTTGCATTTTAATGCCAACCTCCCTCATTTGCACTTCCTGAAACAATCCATGAACTGAAACACAGTTCTCCTCCGAAATTCACACTTCTCAAGATTTGACAATATCTGGTTCTCCAACCAAAACATGTGATCCCAAATGTGTCTGTCGGGGCAAAAGTGTGAATCAAAATGCACACACGCCTGTGAAAATAACATGCAAGAATGCAGTACATATATTACGGGGGAAATTGCACACACAAAATATCTCTTGTTGCAAGTTAGGAGGCTCAGTTTGGCTGGTGCCCTGAGTGCCTTCCGAATCTTGGGATCCTGCATCTGTGGGGGCAGATGGTATGGGATGCCAGTGGTCTCTAGGTGATGGCTTTCGCTGACTAGTTAAGCACTAAAAAAGTTGCAAAGTGTCATAGAACAAAGGCAGGGGCTTCCTTTCACTCCATTAGCTGATAGGTAAGATCATGGCCACTGGTCCCATCAGTTCCTGGCAAATAGAAGGGGAAGAAATGGAGGCAGTGAGAGATTTTACTCTCTTGGGCTCCATGATCACTGCAGATGGTGACAGCAGTCACGAAATTAAAAGACACCTGCTTCTTGGGAGAAAAGTGATGACAAACCTAGACATCGTCTTAAAAAGCAGAGACATCACCTTGCCAACAAAGGCCCATATAGTTAAAGCTATGGTTTTCCCAGTAGTGATGTATGGAAGTGATAGCTGGACCATAAAGAAGGCTGATCGTCGAAGAATTGATGCTTTTGAATTCTGGTGCTGGAGGAGACTCTTGAGAGTCCCATGGACTGCAAGAAGATCAAACCTCTCCATTCTGAAGGAAATCAGCCCTGAGTGCTCACTGGAAGCACAGAGCCTGAAGCTGAGGCTCCAATACTTTGGCCACCTCATGAGAAGAGAAGACTCCCTGGAAGAGACCCTGATGCTGGGAAAGATGGAGGGCACAAAGAGAAGGGGACAGCAGAGGACAAGATGGTTGGACAGTGTTCTCAAAGCTACCAGCATGAGTTTGACCAAACTGTGGGAGGCAGCGGAAGACAGGAGTGCCTGGCGTGCTCTGGTCCAGGGGTTCACGAAGAGTCGGACACGACTAAACAACTAAACAAAGGAGAACGATAGCCAGAATAATGTGTGAGAGCTGAGCTGGAAGCAGGCTGGAAGCTGGAGACACAGAGACCTGCTTGCTCTGTGCTGGATTCAAAGCCAGTGTCAATTTTGCTGCCTTCGCAGCACTAGGCATATCCTTTCTGCTTTCCTCAGGCTCTTGATTTCTAACTTCTAGCGCAGCTGCTTTAGTCCGTGCACTTAACTTGCTGTTTTATATATTGCTGCAGCATTTTTAATCTCTTTTCTTATATTGCTGCTTCCTCTTGGAGGTGTGTAAGCTGCTTTGCGACTGAAGGGAAAGGGAGGCAATCTTAAAAAAAGAGACAAACTAGGCCACGGCTCTGTCGCCTCAGCATGGATGTTGCTGTCTTGCTGCCCTCCGTCCTGACCCCTCCTGGGTGGTGCTGCCTCCATCTCATTCTGCAATCTCAGCTCCTTGCTTTGCAGCAGACCAGATTTCGGTCTTCACCGCCAGGGGCTGGCGGGCCACGGCCACCTTGGCTGATGGGCCTTGAATGTTCTCCTGTCTCTCCAAAGCTGCTCCGCTGGCAGAGAGATGCCAAGAGCGGCAGGCAGCAAACAAACAAACAAAAAATCACCCCTCCAGCTCTTTGGAGAGCAAAACCAAGACAGATGGGCAAGTCTGGCCTCCGCTGGTGGTTGCAACTTGCCAGCAAGTTTAGAAATCTGAGTGAAAGACAGGATATGAAAGTCAGACAGAGATTTATACCCAGATATGCAGAATGTTGATGTGTGCCTTTTAATCTGTTTTCAGTTTATCGCTGACTTTACATTTTCTTTTGAGTGTTTTAAATGGATGTTTTTTGACTCTTCTTACTGATAATTTCATTGTCTTCTCCTGACTGTGCCCCCAAATCCCCCAGTAATAAGATCATTAAGTTTGCAGATGATACAACGGTGGTTGGTTTAATCAGGGCTGGAGAGGGGGAGGCGGCCTATAGGAAGGAAGTTGAGCAGTTGGGGGAGTGGTTCAGGAAAAACAGCTTACTGCTTAACTCAGTTGCGCAGTAAAGGCTTCTTTGCAATCCGCACTAGAATGACAACTTTGTCCTGTGAAGCTCTTTGGTTTTTACCCATTCATGTTTGATGGTGGGTTTTCTGCTACTGCATTGGACACCACTTTGGACGCTCTGCAGAGAAGTGGCTTATCGAAGCTGGAAGCGGAACGATATCAAAGTATCTTTGCCTCGCAGCTGCTCCTACAGAAAAACAAAGCAACAAGCCCTTTTGCAAGATGTTTCCCATATGGAAGGTATTTCATCACTGCAGGCAGCCAGCAATGTGAAAAGTACAGCAGTCCACGTGAAAAGGATTTAGGGGTCTTAGCAGACCACAAGCTTAACATGAGTCAACAGTGTGATGCAGTAGCAAAAAACAACAACGCCGTAATGCTATTCTAGGTTGCATCAACAGAAGTCAAGTGTCCAGATCAAGGAAGTAATTGTTGTCGTTTAGTCGTGTCCGACTCTTCGTGACCCCATGGACCAGAGCATGCCAGGCCCTCCTGTCTTCCGCTGCCTCCCGCAGTTTGGTCAAACTCATGCTGGTAGCTTCGAGAACACTGTCCAACCATCTTGTTCTCTGCCGTCCCTTTCTCCTTGTGCCCTCCATCTTTCCCAACATCAGGGTCTTTTCCAGGGAGTCTTCTCTTCTCATGAGGTGGCCAAAGTCTTGGAGCCTCATCTTCAGGATCTGTCCTTCCAGTGAGCACTCAGGGCTGATTTCCTTCAGAATGGAGAGGTTTGCTCTTCTTGCAGTCCATGGGACTCTCAAGAGTCTTCTCCAGCACCAGAATTCAAAAGCATCCATTCTTCGGCGATCAGTCTTCTTTATGGTCCTTTATGCTCTCACTTCCATACATCACTACTGGGGAAAACATAGCTTTAACTATACGGACCACTCTATTCTGCCTTGGTCAAACCTGTGTCCAGTTCTGGGCATCATAATTTAAGAAAGATGTTGACAAGCTGGAACATGTGCAGATGAGGGCAACCAAGATGGTCAAAGGTCTGGAAGCCAAGCCTGATGAGGAACGGTTGAGGGAGTTAGGGATGTTTAGTCTGGAGAAGAGGAGGTTGAGAAGAGATATGAGTGTCACCTTCAAATACCTGAAGGGTTGGCCCATGGAAGAGGGAGCAAGCTTTTTTTTCTGCTGTTCTGGAGGGTAGGACCCAATCCAATGGATTCAAGTGACAAGAAAGGAGATTCTGACTAAACATCAGGAAGAACTTTCTGAGAGTAAGAGCTGCTTGACCGTGGAACTGACTCCCTTGGAAACTGGACTCTGATTCACGAGAAGCTGGATTCTTTCACTGTGATTCTTGCATTGTAGGAGGCTGGACTAGATGACCCTTAGGGTCCCTTTTAACCCTACAGTTCTACGATTCAATTGTTCTAGTGCCTCTCTATAGCAATCTTCTCCAACCCAGTACTCTCCAGACCACAAGTCCCATCAGTCCCATCATGTAGTCGAAAACATTTGGAGGGTACCTGGTTGACAAAGGTTTCTATATACCTCCGCTATCTGCATTCTCCCTTTTGAAATATTGGAGTGTGTGTGTGTGTGTGTGTGTGTGTGTGTGTTGATTAACACTCCAGTTCTAGGGGAAAAACAAGGGTGAACTCTCAGCATCTCTTTCTGAAAAATGGGTCCCCAGTGGGAAATGGCTCTGACTCATTTTGGGTATAGTTGTAATCTTTTCTTGCAAATGTTAATTAAATGATTGATTTACTGAGAGCTTTAACTAACTCTGATAAGCTCACACAATTTTCTGGCCAGTAATTGCATTTTCCTCCAGGGGTTAGCTAAGAAAGTGATGTTGAGGGGCAGAGGGAGGCTTATTCCGCACTAGAAGTTCAGTGAGAGGTTTTTGCCTTTGGGCCTTGAAGAACGCGAGATATGAAGCAAGTTGGACTGTTTTCTAGCATGGCCTTATCTCTGTTCTTTCCTCCTTCTTTCATTTTCTCAAACATTAGAAATGGACCGGAAAATGCTTGCAGCAAAAAGAGCAGCCATCTCAATGAGCGGTGGGATTTTGTTTTGTTTTGTTTTTCAAGTCTCTGGCGAGGCATGCCGCCATACCTCATGAAGACTCTTTGGTTCACTTCAAACAAATGCACATATCTCCTTCAGGGAAATGCTGTTTGTGGCTATAGGAAGAAAACATGGTTTCGCGAGTTTGTCTTTTGATTCCAGAGCCTTTCTGCCCCAGTGTCATTTGTGGAGCAGATTGGATAGGTAGTGAAAATCAGTGGGCAAGGTCCCATCTCCCATCACCAAATTTGTCAATTTTAGGAGCCCCTGTTCCTACATGCAGTGAAGTTAAGCATGGAAGGAGAGGCTGTTTGACCTTTAAAATATGTCCTTGTGACTTCCTCCCAAAGTCAGATTCATGTGCTTTTCCATACAGCATTCAGAAAGTGTTGCACAGGCAGTAAAACCTGACTTAGTTACAGCGGTGAAAGTTCCTAAATTATTGTTACAGAAACACAATAATGGCTTGTAAGAGTCATGTGGTCTGAGCCTGGAGCAACCAGCTCAGAACTCTTTGCATGCTGAGCTTCTCAAGTAGCTTGAGGGGAAGAAAGGCCTTCATTGCCTAGTCCCTCTCAAGGTGAACTAAACCTGGCAGGACAGCTTACTCTCTGGTCTTAACCCCTTCATGCATTAATTAGACTTGTGCACGTTGGTGATATGAGGCTGGTTACTGTACACCTACACCCTTGACAAAGGCTTAATACAGGAGGCTGTGATGACCACCAACCTCAACGGCTTTAAAATAGAATTAGACAAATTCATGGAGAAAAGGACTATCAATGGCTACTAGCCCAAATGGATGTGCTTTGTCTTCCTTGGTCAGAGACAGCAGTGCTTCTGAACACCAGTTGCTGGAAAACACAGGTGGGGAGAGTACTCTTGTGCCCGGATCCTGCTTGTGGTTTGCGACTGTGGGATGTAACATCAATGAAGCAGTCAAATACAACATTTCCTGTTTGCCCAGTGGACACGCAGGGGAATGTTGCTCCAGCCAAGAGGACTTCCTGTCACACCTGGTCTGGAGCATCTTCCTCCTGCTTGTGACCAGGTAGATGGGCGTGACCCTGGCAGACCCTATAAAAGGACTAGTCACACAGCCATCTTCCTCTCACTTTTCTTGACTCTCTTGATGCCTTTTGCTGTCTGCTGGCTCTCAGCCAGCAGCACATGGGCTCATCCCTCACAGAGAATGAAGCCACACTTTTCTCTGCAACTGTTAACTACAGGCTAAAGCCTGCCTTCAGGATCATACTGTGAACTGAATGTAAACCTCATCATTACTTTTAAAAGAAGGCTGTTGTGTCATTATTGTTTTTAAGAGAGAACTAAAGGGGATTTTGGGACCCGGGTGGCGCTGTGGGTTAAACCACAGAGCCTAGGACTTGCCGAGCAGAAGGTTGGTGGTTCGACTCCCCACGACGGGGTGAGCTCCCGTTGCTCGGTCCCTGCTCCTGCCAACCCAGCAGTTCAAAAGCATGTCAAAGTGCAAGTAGATAAATAGGTACCGCTCCAGCGGGAAGGTAAACGGCGTTTCCGTGTGCTGCTCTGGTTCACCAGAAGCGGCTTAGTCATGCTGGCCACATGACCCGGAAGCTGTACGCCGGCTTCCTCGGCCAATAAAGCGAGATGAGCGCCGCAACCGCAGAGTCGGCCACGACTGGACCTAATGGTCAGGGGTCCCTTTACCTTTACCTTTAAAGGGGATTTGCCAGGAACAATCCAATCTGGACAAGCCAGACTGGATCACTCAACTTATATAGTTCTAACAAATCCAGCAACTAGCTTCCAGCAATGTGCAAGGGAATGTGCTCTGCTACAATCTCACTAGCATGTGTGAGGAAGGATAATATTTAATCAATATATCCTCTCCTAATATCCTCAGCATTCCCACAGCTACAAGAGGCATCTGGTTGGCTATTGCAAGAACAGGATCCTGGATATAAGCTTTCTCTGCTTATATCAGGGGTCAGCAACCTCTTTCAGCCGTGGGCCCATCCACCGTCCCTCAGAGCATGTGGAGGGGCCGGACTATATTGGGGGGGGGGGGAGAACGAATTCCTATGCCTCACAAATAACCCAGAGATGCATTTTAAATCAAAGGACACATTCTACTCATGTAAAAACACACTGATTCCTGGACCGTCCGTGGGACAGATTTAGAAGGTGATTGGGCCAAACAACAGCAGCAAGAGTATTGTTAGCCCAGAAATGGAATCAAGAAGGAATCCCGACAAAAGAAGAATGGCAGACAAAATTAATGGACTATGCAGAATTAGATAAAATGACAGGAAGGATTCAAAACCTGCGGGACCAGAGATTCACAGAAGATTGGAAGAAGTATACGAACTATTTGAGGAGCAACTGTAATCAACAAATTATGCTAATAGAACTACAAGAAGTTTTGTAAGGAGGAATATATGAAAAATTGCAAAGTAGAGAAAGAATAGAGATATTAGTTATGAGATTTAAATGTAATAGTGAAAGTAAGAAAAATTGAGTGAATAGATTGGAAAATTTTCAGATGTAGAATCATAGAATCCTAGAGTTGGAAGAGACCACAAGGGCCATCGAGTCCAACCCCCTGCCAAGCAGGAAACACCATCAGAGCACTCCTGACATATGGTTGTCAAGCCTCTGCTTAAAGACCTCCAAAGAAGGAGACTCCACCACACTCCTTGGCAGCAAATTCCACTGTCAAACAGCTCTTACTGTCAGGAAGTTCTTCCTAATGTTTAGGTGGAATCTTCTTTCTTGTAATTTGGATCCATTGCTCCATGTCCGCTTCTCTGGAGCAGCAGAAAACAACCTTTCTCCCTCCTCTATGTGACTGATGTGATTGATGGAAGTAAAAAAAAAATTGTATAAGATATAAAAGTATGTATAATTATTGTTGAAAATGATATGTTAAAAAAAACTAATAAAATTTATTTTTTTAAAAAAAAGAGAAGGCGATTGGGCTGCATCCGGACGCAGGGTCTTAGGTTACCTACCCCTGGCTTATATTCTTACGGCTGTGGAGAAGGTGGGGGGGCTCTCCTTCCTTAGAGGATTTTAAACAGAGGTTGGGGGGGCCATCTGTGAGGGATTCTTTCCTGCATTGCAAGCATTTGGACCCGAATGACCCTTGGGGTCCCTTCCATCTCTGTAGTTCCATGATTCTTAACATACCAACATTAATAGGTGTTGCTTCAAAGCTGTCCATGGGGACTTCTGCTGTGAAAGACACAGCAACAAACAGACCTTGGGGTTCTGTTCAGCTGGCAATAGGAGTCCTAGTCAAAGGTAATCAGCTGGAAAGGGGGCAAGTTGGGGGTGAAGGCAATGGGTGACATTGAAGCCTTGGTGTCACTGCAGCCAAGGGCTTAGTTCTAAAGTAAAACAGCCCTGGATAAGACAGCTGGAGAATGTGGAACAGCAGATATATAGATAGATAGATATTGTCATTGATTCATAGGATACATGACCCCTGGCTTGGCTGTCTTGAGTCTGACCTAATGCCAGAAGTTTCTAGTTTAGCCTGTCAGAAGAGCTTACAGGAGATGATGGAAGCCGGAGTTTGTGTCAATACAAGAGGGCCTTTTGTCTGCTGCAATAAAAATTGCTTTAAATTGGAGACACGGTTTGCTAAAAGAGATTATTGTAGGGGTTCCAGGAACTCTGGTGTCCTGGCAGCAGAGCAATGAAAACCATAGAGGGGGAAACTGGGGGTGTTCCTGGAAAACCCTGAGCTGCGAGGGGGCAGGTGCAGGAGACAGGGAGATCACCTGCTGGTGACAATGGGAAATGGCAGAGAGGTTGCACAAATGGGAAACAGCATTTTCGGACCTGCAGTTTTTAAAAAAGAGGTCGCCTTTTGTGAAGCCCAAAGCCAGTTCTCAACAGCAGGGGCGGCAGGAGGCGGGGGCTAGCAATCTGCCTTGATGCAATTTCATTGCAGAGTTTTAAAAGAAAATCTACAGCAGAATTTAGTGGAGCACGGACACTGTGATCTGAGCCAGAGCTCAGCCTTGGATCACTAAAAGGGAGGTATTAAAATTCATTTGAATTAAAGTGTGTGAGAGAGGCGGGGTGGAGAGGGAGAGAGAGAGACTTTGCTAGAACTGTTTCAGGACATTATGAATTATATTTTGCAAGGATAAAGAAGAGTGCAGAGCTGGTGGATTAAATTGCAGAACTGGCCAATCCATTCCCTTCTGCACATGTGTGGCATTGTAAGGAAGCAGGGCAGCTGAGATTGTAGGACAGCCGCCCATGAACACAGGGGCAGTTATTTTATTTTATTTTTGTATTTCATAACAGTTATACACCGTTTGATTGGTGGGGAGGGGGACCCAACCCTCGAAGTGGGTTAAGGCAATGAATTGATCAACAAGAAAAATTAGCAACAATGATTTAAAGCTTTCAGAAAGTTAAAACAACCACAGACTAAAGCTCATGTCTACCTTCTAAACATCTGGGTAAGGTAAAGGTAAAGGGACCCCTGACCATTAGGTCCAGTCGTGGCCAACTCTGGGGTTGCGCGCTCATCTCGCTCTATAGGCCGAGGGAGCCGGCGTACAGCTTCTGGGTCATGTGGCCAGCATGACTAAGCCGCTTCTGGCGAACCAGAGCAGCGCACGGAAATGCCGTTTACCTTCCCGCCGGAGTGGTACCTATTTTTCTACTTGCACTTTGACGTGCTTTCGAACTGCTAGGTTGGCAGGAGCAGAGACTGAGCAATGGGAGCTCACCCCGTCGCTGGGATTCGAACCGCCAACCTTCTGATCTGCAAGTCCTAGGCTCTGTGGTTTAACCCACAGCGCCACCCGTGTCCCTAAACATCTGGGTAGGCTTGTCTAAACAAAACTGTTTTTAGCAGATGCTGGAAAAGAGTACAGGGAAGGTGTCTGGTATCAATACGCAGGGAGTTCCAAAGTGCCACACTAAAAGATCGAGTTCTCACAAACACAGAACTCCCTGTTAGGTCGCTGCCAGTTGGTGGCTGAGTGTGCATTTATTGGGTAAGGTGTTGCAAAACACAGAAATAGTCTCCAGGGGCTTCTAGTGAGGGTATGCTTCTGGTTCTTTTTCCTCTACTCTGCTCATTTTTTCAGATTTTCTATATTCTAATAAACTCCTGTTCCTCCCATTATATTTTACAGCTCTCTCAAAAAGACTATTACACTACAGCAAAATGTTGCATATCAGTGAGGAATCCGCTTCACTGATAATATATCAACGGGCAGAATGCACAGAGAGACAGCCTCAACCAAACGACTTGCACATTAATGATTTCTAAAATGCACAAGTCAAAAATATGTGAAATAAACTCATAACATCAGAGACAGGCTGCTGCTGCAATCCTAACCCTGCTTCCCTGCAAATGAGCCCCATCAAATTCAGTAGGACTTGCTTCCGAGTAGACATGGTTAGGATTGCGGGCTCAGACATGCTTGAGGTATAAACTGCTGAAATCAAGGGGTCTACTTTGAGCATGAGTACACCTGGCTCTAATCCATGGTGGATATTTAAAACTCGTTCTCCTCTTTGGAAAATCAGAATCCCTTTTCAGATGCTCATTAGATGTAAAATGGAGGAAGGTGGTAGGAACTGGGCTATAGCCTGGCTCTAACTCTGTGATAGAATCATGTTGTTGTTGTTTAGTCGTTTAGTCGTGTCCGACTCTTTGTGACCCCCTGGACCAGAGCACGCCAGGCACTCCTGTCTTCCACTGCCTCCCGCAGCTTGGTCAAACTCATGCTGGTAGCTTCGAGAACACTGTCCCACCATCTCGTCCTCTGTCGTCCCCTTCTCCTTGTGCCCTCCATCTTTCCCAACATCAGGGTCTTTTCCAGGGAGTCTTCTCTTCTCATGAGGTGGCCAAAGTATTGGAGCCTCAGCTTCAGGCTCTGTGCTTCCAGTGAGCACTCAGGGCTGATTTCCTTCAGAATGGAGAGGTTGGATCTTCTTGCAGTCCATGGGACTCTCAAGAGTCTCCTCCAGCACCATAATTCAAAAGCATCAATTCTTCGGCGATCAGCCTTCTTGATGGTCCAGCTATCGCTTCCATACATCACTACTGGGAAAAACCATAGCTTTAACTATATGGGCCTTTGTTGGCAAGGTAGAATCATAGTGTCATAAAATTGCAGAATCAGAAGGGACCCTGAGGGTCATCTAGTCCAACCCCCTGCAATGCAGGAATCTCAACTAAAGCATCCGTGACAGATGGCCACCCAACCTCTGCTTAAAAACATCCAACAAAGGAGTCCACAACCTCCCAAGGGAGACCATTCCACTGTCAATTGGCTCTTACTGTCAGAATGTTCTTCATGAAGTTTAGTTGGAATCTCCTTTCCTGTAACTTGAATCTATTGGTTTGGGTCCGACCTTCCAGAGCAGGAAAAGACAAGCTTGTTCCCTCTTCCATGTGAGAGTCCTTGAAGTTGTCCTGAGACCCTTCCAATTCTCCGGCTCCTGGGATTTTTATTTTTTTTTTATGAAAATGTCTTTTAATAGCGCTATGCGGTTTTTACTATCTGCATTTGAATAGATTTGTATTTTATGCAGTTTTAATTCCATTAGAGTTTAATCATTTTTAACCATTATCCTTTCTATGCTTTTTGTATTTTTCTAGGTGTTGTTTCAATTTGTATAAGCCACCTTGAGTCTGGGGGGGAAAGCAGGTTATAAATAAAAATAAAATAATCATAATCCCTGAAGAGTGCAGAACAGCTAACAAAGGGGAATAGTGTGTGGACGGCCCAGTATAAATCCCCAGCTGGCGTACTCCTGTTGCATCGACGAGTCATTGCAGAATACAAATTGGAAGGAAACGGAGAAACCTGCAGCAGTCTGGAGGATCCCCATCTTGCTTAGCAGCTGAACAAAAAGGAAATCAAGTCTCGGGCGCACGTAGCCCAGAAGTGGCATATTAATTCAAATTGCATCAAATTTATGGGTTGTGACGGACCTCCAGCTGAGATAATGATTGCATTGTAAATAAATAAACCAAAGGATGCGCAATTCAGGAGCCTTTCGCTCCAATTGCTCTTTACTTAACAGCCGTTGATTGCCATCTGGAACAAGCGCAAATCTTCTCCTGCTTCAGGTGCTCAAGGGAACAGGTGAGGGTCCAAGCCGGGTGCATCAGCCCCGCCCACAACTTACCTGTACCTGCTGGCCCCACCCCCAGCGCTCACATGTTCAGCATGAAGGCCCGCAGTGCGATCCACCACATTCAGCCGAATGAGGTTTGAATTCACCTTGGGTCAGGGATTTTGACTGCGGGAAGGGCTTGTGCTTGTGGTTCCTGTATTTCACGGGGGCTGGATAAGTCTCTTCCAAAGCTACAGTTCTGTGATTCTATGAGTCCTGCAAGAATCTCCATTCTAATAAAATAATAATAAAATATAATAATAATAATAATAATAATAATAATAATTTATTTGTACCCCGCCCATCTGGCTGGGTTTCCCCAGCCACTCTGGGCGGCTTCCAACAAAGATTAAAAATACATTAAAATGTCACACATTAAAAACTTCCCTGAACAGGGCTGCCTTCAGATGTCTTCTAAATGTCAGGTAGTTGTTTATCTCTTTGACATCTGGTGGGAGGGCGTTCCACAGGGCGGGTGCCACCCCCGAGAAGGTCCTCTGCCTAGTTCCCTGTAGCTCTGCTTCTCGCAGGGAGGGAACCGCCAGAAGGCCCTCGGAGCTGGACCTCAGTGTCTGGGCTGGACCTCAGCGTCCGGGCAAAACGATGAGGATGGAGACACTCCTTCAGGTATACTGGGCCGAGGCCATTTAGGGCTTTCAAGGTCAGCACCAACACTTTGAATTGTGCTCGGAAACGTACTGGGAGCCAATGTAGGTCTTTCAAGACCAGTGTTATGTGGTCTCGGCGGCCACTCCCAGTCACCAGTCTAGCTGCCGCATTCTGGATTAGTTGCAGTTTCCGGGTCACCTTCAAAGGTAGCCCCACGTGGAGCGCATTGCAGTAGTCCAAGGAGACTCAATATGAATTCATTAAAGGAGCCGGGGGGGGGGTGTTGCATGTGCAAACACTGCCTTGCTTTAAACGCCAGTGCATTCTTCCGAAAGCCTGAGGAGCTCTAGAAGCCCCTGCATTCGACACTTTCCAATGTGGTCACAAATATCTTTATTTCCTTTCCATATAAACTGCTCTGCAGAGACCTAATGGGGCAAGGAGGGTGATAGGCGTACCCAGTGATGCTCTGCATGCTTGATCTTTCCATGGCTCTACATCCTCCAGATGTTGCTGGACTACAAATCCCATCAGCATTGGCCCTGCTGCCTGAAAAGGCTGATGGGAGTTGGAGTCCAGCTGCCAGCTGAGATGCCCAAACACCACCCAAACCATTGCCGTTTTAATTAGTGAAAAAGTAAGCAGATTCTCTTTTGCAGCTGTCACTTGATATTGCAATTATCAGGGGAATCAGGCCTTGCAGATAGGCCTCACTAGGATACACAACTGGTAGAAGTTAACTCAAAGAGGAACTCTAGGATCAGAATTCTGAGTCGGTAGCGCCAGATTCAGCAAATTTGAATTCCAATGTTGTTCTGATTTATCTATTCCGTCTCCATCACTGCTCTGCCAGTTTTTGCTCCTCCATTGAGTTAGTCACAGACTCAAGACCTCTTTGTCAGCTCCGCATTCAACCACCTTCCTCCTGAATTCTCCAACAGCCGCCATCTGCATAATCCTTGTCCTAAATCACAGCCCAACAACCACAGTGCTCGTTAGCTGCTGTTTAATTAAGCAATATGGATCCTGCCTTGATATTTACAATTCCACTCGCTCTGATTGATTGGTGAAAATGTCTCATTTTTAAATACGGCAGCCATAAAGTTTAATACCGCTTGACTTATTGCAAGTTTCATTTACCGCTCCAGATGCCAATCCGGCCCAACCCAAAGCTAGGAGCCGCTGGCCTATTAAATCAATGCTAACTGTGCGTGCAGAAATAGATGATGAGCTTCATTACAACCGGTTTGCTGGGCAATTATTGAGATCTGGATTTACACACTCGTGCAAATCCAACACTTCTTCTCCTGGTCTCCGTTAAAGAGGCGAGAGAGGAACATGTGAAGAAAACATTTCATGCAGACCACTGCAAAGTTCTCACGCTCCGATTCCGAAATCGTGGACAGCTCTTTTTCAAAAAGCTCGAGATATAATTACCTAGACAAGGTGCCCATCCTAGAAACAAGGTTATTTGTGGTTCTGGGAAGGCTGAAGATCTTCAACAGCCAGGGATGAAAGGGAGTTGGAGGGCTGGAACATCTGCAAGGCCAAAGCTTCCCCCGTGGTAGAGCTTTTCGTGAGAGATGGTGCCGTAGAGGCAGTGATGGCCAACATGGAAGGCTTTCAAAGATTAGACAAATTCATGGAGAAGATGGCTATTGATAGCTACTAGTCAGGATGGCTCTGCTCTGCCTCTGTAGCTTCTGAATCCAAGTTACTGGAAACCACAGGAGGGTTGTTATGGTTTAGTCATTTAGTCATGTCCGACTCTTCGTGACCCCATGGACCAGAGCATGCCAGGCACTCCTGTCTTCCACTGCTTTCCGCAGTTTGGTCAAACTCATGCTGGTAGCTTCGAGAACACTGTCCAACCATCTTGTCCTCTGTCCTCCCCTTCTCTTTGTGCCCTCCATCTTTCCCGGCATCAGGGTCTTTTCCAGGGAGTCTTCTCTTCTCATGAGGTGGCCAAAGTCTTGGAGCCTCAGCTTCAGGATCTGTCCTTCCAGTGAGCACTCAGGGCTGATTTCCTTCAGAATGGAGAGGTTTGATCTTCTTGCAGTCCATGGGACTCTCAAGAGTCTCCTCCAGCACCATAATTCAAAAGCATCAATTCTTCGGCGATCAGCCTTCTTTATGGTCCAGCTCTCACTTCCATACATCACTACTGGGAAAACCAGAGCTTGAACTATACGGACCTTGGTTGGCAAGGTGATAGCTCTTGAACTCGAATCCTGCTTGCGTGGCATCCGGTTTGCCACTGTGAGAACAGGCTGCTGGACTAGATGGGCCATTGGTCTGATTCAACCTCAGGGCTCTTCTCATGTTCTGTTTTGCATGCAGAAGGTCCCAGGCTCATTCTCCAACACCTCTAGGTGGGGCTGGGAGGGACCCTGTCTGAATCCCTAGAGAGCTGTTGCCAGTCAGTGTGAACAGTACTGAGCTAGATTATGGTTACCAGATGTCCCCGTTTCCCAGGGACAATCCCTGGATTTACCAATCCGTCCTCAGAATGTCCCCGGATCTCATTTAATGTCCCCGGATTTATATTTTAAGTGTTGTAGATTTATTAGTAGGGAATGAATGTTGCACCATTGGTTCAACGGCACAAGACACATCATATGGGGACCTCCGGCGAGGCAAAATGGTGGGCACCACGGCAGAGAGCAGCTCCTGAAGCCAGCCATAGCCAACAGCGCTACCAGGCTGGCTCCAGGCTGCTAGGACTGTCACTGCCAAGGCGGAACCAGGGATGCCCAGTGCATCAACTGGGGGAACTGCTGACCCCCCCCCAACCCAAATTGAGCCGGGAGCAAGAGTGCCTGGCCACCCGGCTGACTGCCCGGTGGCACTCCAGGGCCAGGAAAACCCCAGAGCTGATGCAGGGATAACGAGAAGAGGAGAAGGAGAAGGAAGAGAGAGGAAGAGGAAGGAGAAAAAAGACCTTGCCACGCTGCCACCGCCGCCACTGAGGAAGAGACGTAGGAGAGCACCGGGAGGGCAAGGACACATGGCCAAGCCCAGGCCTGACCTGAGCCTACTCCATGGCAGCTAGCACTCCAAGAAAGCAGGCCCAGAGGAAGGCTGCACGACAGAGGAGACCACAGAAGAGAAGATATTACCTCTTAATTTTTTAAAGAGTTTGGATTTGAAGAAGAGTTTGGATTTGATATCCTGCTTTATCACTACCCGAAGGAGTCTCAAAGCGGCTAACATTCTCCTTTCCCTTCCTCCCCCACAACAAACACTCTGTGAGGTGAGTGGGGCTGAGAGACTTCAGAGAAGTGTGACTAGCCCAAGGTCACCCAGCAGCTGCATGTGGAGGAGCAGGGAATCGAACCCGGTTCACCAGATTACGAGACTACTGCTCTTAACCACTACACCACACTGGCTCTCCAGTGTTTTAAAAAAATACTCTCCAGTATTAAAAAAAATAACTTTTAATAACTTTTTTTCTCTTTGCAAAAGAAAAAAAGTGTCCCTGGATTCTTTGAAAAAAATATGGTAACCTTAAGGTAGATGGACCTGTGTTCTGCTGACTCAACATGACATGGATCTGGGATAGGTCAGTCTACTGAGACTCTTCATCACAGGGTTGCAGGTTCAAACCCCACGTTGGGCAAAAGATTCCTGCATTGCAGGGGGTTGGACTAGATGGCACTCACGGTCCCTTCCAACTCTACTGTGCTGGTCCCGTGGATTTCCGTGAGGCATGGTCCGAGTCCAGTCCGAGGTCAAGGGTGTGGTATGGAGGCTGTCCGTCAAGGCTGAAGGGGGGTCCAAGGCAAGGAGTCGGGTGGGTCAGGAACTCTGGCAGAAGAGCAGGACAGGGTGCAGGCAGGAACAGGTTACCAACAACATTGCTCCCGCAACCTGGGACTGGGCTGGCTGACTTTTATCTGCCCCGAGGCATAGGGCGGCCCCAGTCCACAGGTGACTCACCTCTCCTGGCCTGGAGGCGAGCACTCCTCCTGCGGGAACTTAGTTCCCTCCGCCTCTCTGCCCTGAGCCTCTGCAGCTCAGGAGAGGCTGGAGGGTTAACGGACCCAGAGGCAACCTCAGCTTCCTCTGACGGGGCTGAGAGTGGAGCACCTGCAGGCAATGGGTCCTCCATCACCTGCGGAGCCAGAGCAGATTCAGCTGGTGCCTGCACCTGAGGACCCAGCACAGGTGAGGGCTCTTCAGGTTCAAGCCCCAGCCCTGGCTCAGCTGGTCCTGGAGGCGGGGACTCCTGTGCAGGCTGGGATTCCTCAGGTTCAGCCTCTGAATCCAATTCCCAGGCCATCACATCTACAGTTCTATGACACAATATTTTTGTCTGTGCCCTGCTCCACAAGTTGGACGAATGTATGAAGAGGGGCAATCGAAAAGTCCCCGTCTTCCCAAGAGAAAAAACGTTAAGCAGGGGAAGTCAACAGAAAATGCAACTAGCCGGAGCAGAGGTAACTGAGGTTGCAAAGGAAAGGCGGTTTGGTGTTAGGGAGTTTTAAAAGGCTCTTCGGATTAAAGAGAGCTGGAATAAGTGGACCACTCTATTAGAGAGGAAGAGATATTTGCATCTACCACATAAAAGCCTTCGTATTATGAACGCCAATGTTAATCTGCCGCTTAATAATATAAGTTCAGCCATAATATATTCAGTCTTTTTTCAATCTTCTAAAGCCTAATTAAAACGAGCTGCCACACCAGGAGATGAACTCAATTACTGTCCAGTGGTATGTAAGCTTCAGAGACTTATTTCCAAAGCTCTCTGATGACCGTGTAATTTGTTAACAAGAAAACAAGGCAGAGCACTTCAGGATGATGCCGGGAAGTCTCATGGCACAGGTGCCTGCGGAGGTTGGATTACTACTTGGCCCTGGAGACATCTGGAAGGGGCAGAACTTGCAAGCCCTGGGCTGAAAAAGCCACAGTCCAAAAACTCACAGGCAAAACCAGACTGGTCTAGGGACTGATGAAGGAAGACTCATTCTCTGATCGGTAACACAATCTGACTTTGTTCGGCAACACAAAAGATCATGCTCACTTGGTCTCAACACAACGCACAAGCCTAACGATGTAAGTAGAGCCTAGTGGATCAGACCCATGGCCCATCTGGTCCAGCATTCTGTTCTTACAGTGGCCAATTGGAGAAACCCACCATAGGATCTGAGCAACTGGTATTCAGAAGCACTGCTGCTGAACTGTGGAGGGCAAGCAGAGCTATCCTAGCTAGCAACCTTTGATAGCCCTCTCCTCCTCCAGGAACTTGTCCAATCCTCTTTTAAAGTGGGAGCAAGTATGGCGGAGCTTTCTTTTAGCTATCCTAAATCTTCCAACATTCAGCTTCACTGAATGTTCATGGGTCCTATCGCTCCAGAGGACAAGTGTGCTGGGCCCGGGGGTTAACCTGAGCAACGCGGTCCAGGTCCGGTCCTAAATCCAAAGGTTCTGCTAGGAGTCAGCCTGATGGGGCCAAGGCAGGACACGAGGCAGGAAACCAGGCAAGGACAGGTACAGGATCTCAGGCAGGATCTGGCATACAGCAATGTTGCTCCCACAATCTGGGGTGGGGTCCGACAGCCTTTTATCTTTGTCGGGGTAGTGGCTAGTCCTGATCCCCCAGTGACTCACCTCCCTGTCTCGCCCGAAGGCGAGCACTCCTCCTGCAAGTACTCAGGTCTCTCCTCCTCTCAGACCTCAGTCTCTGCAGCTCGGGAGACGTCGGTGGGTGACTAGAGCCAGGGGCCATCTCAGCCTCCCCTGATCCAACCGGTAGTGGAGCAGCTGTAAGTGATGGCCCAGCTGGAGGCAACGAGGTCATTTCCACATCTAGAGCCAGGGCAGGCTCAGGCCCCTGAGTCGGCCCAGCTGGTGCTTGTTGCAGGGGAACCTGTGCAGACTGGGGCTCTTCAGAATCTGGCCCCAGACTAGGTTCAGATGCCGCCTGAGGCAGAGGATCCGGTGCGGACTGAGACTCCTCCGGTTCCGAGTCTGAGCCCCAGTCCCAGGCCATCACACCAAGGCTAGAATGAACAAGTAGAAGTGAGATGGTCAAAGGTCTGGAAACCACCAAGCCTGATGAGGAACAGTTGAGGGAGTTGGGTATCTTTAGCCCCGAAAAGCAGAGACTGAGATGTGATAGGCGTCTTCAGATATCCGAAGGGCTGTCACATGGAAGATGGAGCGAGCTTGTTTTCTCCTGCTCTGGAGGGGAGGACCCAAATCAAACACTTCAAGTTACAAGAAAGAAGATTGCAACTCAACATCAGGAAGAACTTTCTGATGGTAAGACCTGTTTGACAGCAGAACAGACTCTCTCCCAAGGTGGTAGGCTCTCCTTCAGTGGAGGTTTGTAAGCAGAGGCTGGCTGGCCATCTGTCATGGATGCTTTAGCTGAGACTCCCGAGTTGCAGGAGGCTGGACTACATGATCCTTGGGAACCCTTCCAACTCTGCAGTTCTGAGATTTTATTACTTAAAATGGCAAGAAAACAGACTTCAGATGAACACAAGTGGGGACTGGACATCCTTTAAATTCCCTTCCAAATCTATGCTTCTAAAGGCGGTTTGCAGCTAGGGTAAATCAATATGGGACAACTCCAAAAGAAAAGCCATTGCTTCTAAGTAGGGATGGGGAGATATTCAATTCAGTTTGCATTTAATGACAAACCTACCTAATTTACCCTTTTCCGAAACGACACAAAACCCAACCCTCCTCTGAAATTTGCATTTCTCAGAATTTCACAATGCTGTTCTCCGGCCAAGTAATGTGCATATGCCAATAAATGCAAATATTAGTGAAAACAACTTACAGAAATTGCTTATCATTTGGGGAAATTGCTTTGCAAAGAAGTGTATACATTAGGCAAACTTGTGTATTAGGAGAAATTCGCTGATGGGTTTGCATAAGCGTCTGGGTTTCTATTTTTTGGAAAAATTGCAAGCTGACGAGCAAAAGTGAACTGAACTTGGAGGAATGAGAAACAGGCAAATTTTGTGATTGTCCCTGCCAGCCTTCATCCAGGAGAATTCAGTCTCCCTTCCACCTGAAGAGCAAAAAAGGAAGCTGCCATCACAGGTGCCCAACCACTTTGCTGAGGTCAGCCCTGGCGCAGCAAAATTTGGAAGAGTGAGCGACTGGTGCAAACCATCTCCGTGGGGCAAAGAGGATGCAGCTGGTGGGCCAAGCCTATTCCAGGGAGCACATCTGCCAGGGAGAGGTGGTGGCTGGGGAGGCGAGGGTCCTTGCTCCAGTGCCAACTGGCCTGTGCTTGTTTCCTCCACACAGGAGAGAGGTACTTGGACGCAACAGCAGGAAGCAAGCCTGGACTGCCTAGAGGCCCTTCCCAGCGCAGCGCAGGAGAAAAGGAGGATTTGCAAGCCTCAATTTTTGCTCACTTGCCTGAGCCACAGGAGAGGGAGAAAGTAGTAGCAGAAGCAGCAGCCCCCATGACTGACATTCAGCCGCCTCCCGAAACTGGCAAGCGGTGCCGCTGTGAATGTACATCCAGAACTCACTTTGCCATGGAGAATATTGCTTGGCATTTTCCTTCCTCGTCTATTGCCAACGAGGGAATTTGTAGTCATGGAGTTGGCAGTATTTAGCTACCGGGGCTGTGAAGTGCTGCCCCCGCTTCTAAATTCGATCTGATCCTGGGTCCAATTCAGCAGCTCAGAGGAGTCCCAAAATGACCCGGGCCTCTCTTGCTGCAGAGGGTAGGATCTGAACCCATGGCTTCAAGTTAAAAGGGAAGGAGATTCCGACTAAACACCAGGAATAACTTTCTGATGGTAAAGAGCTGTTCGACAGCAAAACGGGCTCCTTTGGAGGGCGGCGGGCTCTCCTTCCTTGGAGGTTTTTAAGCAGAGGCTGGATGGCCATCTGTCATGGGAGCTTTAGCTGAGATTTCTGCATTGCAGGGGGTTGGACTAGATGACCCAAGGGTCCCTTTTCCAGCTCTACAATTTTATCATTCCAAGGCCAACCTGGATCTGAATCGCGCAAGGAACGTGTGGCCTAGGGAGAGTCCCAGGGGGCAGATAGAGAGAACCAGAGGGCGGCATTCAAAATAAACTGGAAAACAGCAGAAGTTGAGGAAAGAGAAGACTCATCTCCCCCACCAAGGACCTTCAAATGTTAAAAGCAAACAGAAACCCTGTTCCATTAAACAAAGAGCACGCTTCTGCGTGCCCTTTGAAAAGCTAACAGTGAGAGGACTCTGAGGGGGTCCTTTCAAAGGTTGGGTGCTGAAATGGAAGAAGCCCCCTTGCCCAATCCACTCATTTCAAGCAGTCAAATCTCCACCTGTGATTGTGAAGAGATGCAGACAGGGAAAGGAACTATTTGCACTCATTGTTTCCAGTCGGGAGCAAATTGCATTGCACTAAGACACCATTTAGGGACGTGGGTGGCGCTGTGGGTCAAACCACAGAGCCTAGGACTTGCCAATCAGAAGGTTGGCGGTTCAAATCCCCGCGACGGGGTGAGCTCCCATTACTCGGTCCCTGCTCCTGCCAACCTAGCAGTTCGAAAGCACACCAGTGCAAGTAGATAAATAGATACCGCTCTGGCGGGAAGGTAAACGGCATTTCCGTGCGCTGCTCTGGTACACCAGAAGTGGCTTAGTCATGCTGGCCACATGACCCGGAAGCTGTACGCTGGCTCCCTTGGCCAATAAAGCGAGATGAGCGCTGCAACCCCAGAGTCAGTCACGACTGGACCTAATGGTCAGGGGACCCTTTACTCTTTAAGACGCCATTTGCTTCCTTCCTCCGAGGATACTCCCTGCCACTGGGACACAAACTAAACACAATAATGCAATCCTCGTTGTGGGATTGGTGGAGTTTTCACTGCTCGCAGCTAGAGAACAGAGAGGGGTTGTCTTTGTTTGTTTTTTTAAAAAGCACCCTTTCCTCCCTTCAGGACACTTTGGCGAGCCTCCCGGATCCTACTTCCATTGCTATCTGGTGACGGCAGCGAGAACGGAAAGACCTTTAGAGCAGACTCTGCCTAACAGCCTCTCTTCAGAGAAGGCCAAATAAGATCATGTAGTGATCTGCTCACCTCGTGCAATTAGCAATCCTATTGGGAGCAGGGTAGAAACCTTTCTCAGCACAAGGGCCGCATTTCCTTACAGGCAACCTCTGAGGGGCCACATCCCACAGGTGGGCAGGGTGTGGGGTTTTCTCCTCCCTTCTGGAGCTTTTGGCAAATGATGCGTTGTTGTGGTGGCAGGTGGCTGTTGCAAGACACCAGTTGCTGGAAACGGGTGGAGGGAAGGATGACTCTGGTGCTCAAATCCTGCTTGCGGATTGGGCAATGTGAGAACAGGACACTGGACTAGACGGGCCATTGGCCTGATCCAGCAGGTGATCTTCTGATGTTCTTAGCAGCTTATCAAATCAAAAGCAGTTTGATTCACTGCAGCAGTTTGACTCACATCTGGCAGAGCTCTTCTTCGGCTTGCACCCAGCGGTTCTGAGGACATCTCCAAGGTCAAGTAAGGAATTGGTGGCTGAGCCAAGACCCACAGCCTTACACACACACACACACACACACACACACACCCTCTAGTGTTTCAAGCCACAAAATGCCTCTCTGCACCCTGGGGCTGTTTTCGCACCAGGCATCTGTTTCCGCTTGGAAGCAGTAGGTCGGAGGCGGGTGCAGAATCTCAATTCCTCCAGGCGGCGTAAAGATTAATTACAAATGGGCCTTTAAAAATAAATTTGACAATTTAGATGCAGGAGGAGAGAGGGAAATAAAGCTGTGACTCCCATTAGGAACAAGATGACTCCTAAATACACTGTGTTAACAGCGTTCAGAAGCAGCCGAAATGTCGGCCTCCAGCCAGCTGCCTCGGGCGCGTGAGCAGGAGGAGGCCGGAGGCAGCGGCTGGAGTTGCGCGGAGGGCAGACGAGTGTGAAAATTAATTAGGCACCAGGGCTTTTGCCGGTGAGGCGGGAGGGGAAACAGGGCAAGCCTTCCTGGACTGGCTTCTGAGCCAAATGCCCGGTGCCGTCTCAAACGGCATGTCCAGGCCTAGAACAAGGGAAGGTGTGCAATGGCTGCGCAGCTGATCCTGCAGACACCATTTGCACATTCTGCTGCCTCTCAGCTGCCCCGTCCAACTTCGCTCAGTCAGAGGCCTAAGGAAATACCTGCCGCAACAGGTCTGAGCAAGCCGGCCGGAGCAGACCCTGTGTGATGGCCTGGGACTTGGGCTCGGAACTGGAGGAGTCTCAGGCCGCACCGGATCCTTTGCCTCAGGCATCACCTGAACCTAGTCTGGGGCCTGATTCTGAAGAGTCCCAGTCTGCACAGGTTCCCCCACAACAAGCACCAGCTGGGCCGAGTCAGGGGCCTGAGCCTGTCCTGGCTCCAGATGCGAGGATGACCTCGTTGCCTTCAGCTGGGCCATCACTTACAGCTGCTCCACTACCGGTTGGGTCAGGGGAGGCTGAGGCAGCCCCAGGGTCTAGTAACCCACCGATGTCTCCCGAGCTGGAGAGACTCAGGTCTGAGAGAAGGAGAGACCTGAGTACTCGCAGGAGGAGTGCTCGCCTTCGGGCGAAACAGGGAGGTGAGTCGCCGGGGGATCATGACCGGCCGTTACCCCATCAGAGATAAAAGGCTGCCGGACCCCGCCGCAGGTTGTGGGAGCAACGTTGCTGCTTGCTGGAGCCTGCCTGTTACCCTGTGCCTGACCTAGCCTGGTTTTCTGCCTTGCCCCTGTTGGACTGACTCCTTGTGGAATCCTTGGATTCGGGACCAGACCTGGACCGCGTTGCTCGGGTTAACCCCAGGGCCCAGCACACCCTGGACTGCTGGACCATACGAAGGCAAGAAGAGTCCGGCCGGCCGCCCCTCCAGTCCATCACTCCAAGGCCCCTCGCCAGGAAGTATGTTCTCTGCTCACATCTCTGCTCAGCTTCCCAGGAAACGACGGAAAGCTAGAAACGAGCTTCAAAATGAAACCCGCTCGAAGACCACCCACATTAAGGGACCCTGCATGGCTTTGCCATCTAAAGGGTCTCTGAGCAGCCTGTAAAGAAATCAGCCCTCTGGAGGAGGCTCACTGCAGTCAGAACATGTCAGGATAAGCTCATACACATCCCACCCTTTCTAGTATCTCTGAGATACGCACTACAAATTCCTCTGTTAGAACTGAGCGGATGAAAACTGAAAGAACAGGCTGTTTAGTAGAACAGATTTTCCTTTACGTTTTTATTTGAAAGGGTTTGGATTTTGATTAAAAAAAGAGGGGTCGATAATGGAGCCAAAATTCATCCCTGCCTCTCGCCAAATGCTTCTTCTTAACCCTGTCCTGTTCAGGCTCCGGGAGACGATGGAGAAAGAAAGTCGACCGAGTGCCTTCCATGCGGAACTTCCTCCTGCTAATCCCTTTCTCCTTCATTGAGATTTATCTGTTGCCTATTCACTGAGCTGATTCAGCCCCACACAAAGATTGGAAGTGGTGGGGCAGAGGGGGAACCGAAGGCAATCAGAGGCATTTAAGAACTATCTCCTTGGCCGCAAAGAGCAGCAGGAAGCAGATGCCTCTGCCAAGCCGAGCTCTGAGCTGCTCTCTCTGGCTAGGACATTTCAGCGCCCTCTAGCCAGGGCACTGACCAATTTCCCATCTTCAGGTAGGGATACAGCTATGGGGCTGACATCTAGCAGCGCTTCTGGGAGCAGTCTCCCACTTGCACTTGGGTCTCTTCACCACAACCCAGACCAGCCATTTCCTGGCTACTCCTCTAAATTGGATATTCTTTTTCTTTCTTTGGCAATCCCTCATAGCCGAGGAAGATTGTCTTCCATGAACACGGTCTTAACAGTGAGTCCATAGTAAAATGAAAATCAGATAGGTGGGACTTGGGGAAGCCCAATGTTTAGAAAAATAAGGCTATGACAAGAATTTGTTTGTATTGTTTGTTTTTCTGTTTGTGTTCTTTATTTGAATTATAAAATGAATTAAAAATGGGGGGGGGGAATTAACAGTGAGTCCGTAAGTGACTTTGGAGGCCAATTCTGGATCCACACGTCCTTCCAAAGTGGGGACATAGGTTTCCAGGCAGGAGTTGATCACAGTGTGGATTTGCCAAGCATGCCTTCCTCTTAGCACGTTTCTCCCTTGCGTCCTGAGTTCGAAAGTCTTCAAAGCCCACGACACCTTTGGTAAAGCCTGTTCTCCAACTGGAGCACTCGCAGGCCAGTGTTTCCCATTTGTCGGTGTTTATGCTACATTTTTAAGATCGGACGCATGGGGGTCTTTGCCCAAGCAGGGCAGATGTGTGGCAAATGTTCCTTGTGTTCAAGACCTCAGTGAAAACAACTGAAGGCTTATGACAGCCGGGGGGGGGGGGGGCAGGAACAGATAAAGAGAGGAAGGTAAGGATCACCCAGTTACCACACATCTACTACATCTTCTAAATAAGGTCCATCTTAATACCTGTAGCTCCCTGCAATGGGGAGGAGAACACAGTGAACAGAATGATCCACCAGTGGAAGCATTTAAATTTTGGTGTTGGGAGGGTTTGTTTCCAATGCCCATTTCTTAGTAATAATAATAATAATAATTTATTATTTATACCCCACCCATCTGGCTGAGTTTCCCCAGCCACTCTGGGCTGCTCCCAACCGAGTGTTAAAAACAATACAGCATTAGAGCAGCTTGGGTCATAGAATCATAGAACTGTGGAGCTGGAAAGGACCCAGGGTTCACCGAGACGTCCAAGCCCTGTAGTGCAGGAACCACAGATCATGTAGCCTTTGCAGGAATAGTGGACCCAAAAGGTTTTGCTGAGCCTTTCCACCAAGAGGAGAGGACGCTTCTCCCAGAAAAGATCGATTGGCCTCAAAATACCTCGGTTTAGCAGGGCAGAAAGACGATTCCAGCTCGGCCCCGGCTGCCAAAGCTATACACAGCCCACGCCACGTGCCCTGCATAGCTCCCAAATTACAGAAGCTTCCCCCACAGGAACTATTCATGCTGATCCCCTTTATCCAAAATCACAGTGATCAACCAAGGGTCCCAAACCCAAAAAGGTCCCTGCTGTGCTTCTGCGCTATGAAGTTTCTCTTCGTTTCAGCTGATAATGCTCTTCAGGCAGGTTTCTCAAGCGCTCGGCAGCCTGTGGGGGAAAAAGGGAATTGGTGTGTGCACTGTTAGAATTCCTGGTCTATGATTGCAGTCATGGGATTTTTGTCTATCACATGACGGTATGTGTTTTGACTCCACAAAGTGGGAAGTGACGGAGACAGGATGTTTGTGTTACTGTGTTCCGTGAAGTGGAACTATTGTCCTTTGTTCTTTTTCTCTTTACTGTCTGATGCTAGAGAGAGAGGGAGCCATGTTGCAGTGCTCCGTGTGTGTTTATATGTAAATAAAGTAGATTAGCCAATATGCTGAGTTGCTGAGGTCTGTCACGCAAGTTGCGCAAACTCTGTGGATCCCTAAGTGTGCCAGTGTCGGTTGGCATCGGTCGCTGTGATGTTCGGGCTGAAGAAAGCTTATGAAGCTCCCGAACGATCGACCAGGAGGGAGGTAATGCCCGTCAGTCGGGCATGTGTCTCTGCCAGGGTCCTACTTGAGTGTAGGCTGAACTCCTGACAGTCAACGAGAAGGCCCAGGAAAAGGAGAGCCTCTCTGCCCCAATCCAACCAGGCCTCAAACTTGCTAAAGAATAAAGAACTTAGAATAACTCTATTCCAGCAATATTCACCACTGCCCCTCCTGTCGCCTTCTTTCTTGTTTCCACAAACTTCTGCCATAAATTGCCTTCTTAACCCATTCACAATGTGTATCTAAGAATGTAAGAGCAGCCTGCTGGATCAGACCAGTGGCCCATCTGGTCCAGCATCACAGTGGACAACCAGATGTTGTGGGAAACCCAGAAGCAGGATTCAAGCACAACAGCAGGACTCTCCTCCCCTGTGGTTTCCAACACCTGATACTTGGAAGCATTGCTGCGTAGACAGAGCAGAGCCATCGTGGCCAATAGCCATCGAAAGCCCTCTCCTCCATGAACTGGTCCAATCCGCTTGTAAAGCCATCTAGGATTGGCGGCCATCACTGCCATCTTGTGGCAGGGAGTTCCACAGTTTAACTATGCGCTGAGAAATGGCGTTTTCTTTCCTCTGCCCTGAATCTCCCAATGTTCAGCTTCACTGGATGTCCACGAGGTCGTGTTATGAGCGAGGGAGAACTTACCTCTTCCCAGGCCAAGCCCCGTTTTACAAACTCTTATCCTGTCCCCTCTTTACTTGCCAAGCTCCACTCACCTGCTCGGGCGTCAAGTCCCTCTGAGCCTGAGCCAGCATTTCGTAGCCAACCATGAACTTGCGGACGGTGGCCGAACGCAGCAAAGGTGGGTAGTAATGGGCGTGCAGCTGCCAGTGGCTGCAGTCGGCGTCAAGGTAGGGTCCTGTTGGGGCTCCTATTAGAGGAGGAGAGAAAAGGGGTGAGGCTGGGGCACCGCAAGGCAGAGAGTCAGGTGCTGGCTAGTGCAGGGGACGCAGATGCGTTGGCACGATCAGGGCCAAATGGGTAAATCTGACCCTCACCATCAGGAAAGGAAGACTGGGAAGGAATTCTGCCCCGCGGAGGACCTTAAGGTCCATGAATAACCATAGTTTAGAGGTTGCGGGTCCTAAGGAAGCCAGACTATCCGCCACCAGGGCCAGGGCCTTCTCAGTGATGGCTCCGCTCTGTCCCAGGAGACCAGGGCCCTTCAGGATTTAACCTCCTTCCGTCAGGCCTGTAAGACAGAGCTATTCTGCCTGGCCTTTTATCTGAATTCAGCCTGATCTTCTATTTCCCTTCTCTTCCCTCCCCCTCCCCTTTTTATGAAGATCACCCGCTCTGAGACCCCACAGCTAATTCTCCCCTGGTCTCCTCGCTGGCCCAAATAGGACTAGTTTAGCCAGCTAGCCCTGGTGATTATCTAATGCTTATTAGATGGATTTCCCCTAAATTGATTTCTGAACTTTGGATTTTATTGTTATTCATGGTTTTATACTGTATTTTATGCTGCTTTTACAATTAAGTGTTTTAAATTTGTTGTTAGCAGCCCTGAGCCCAGTTTTTGAACCGGGAAGGGCAGGCTATAAATAAAAAAATATATATTATTTATTTATTATCGAGAGTTGGTCAAGGAGAGAGGACAGGGCAAACAAAGACTCCTGTCCTCCTAACAGAAAAGGGAAGGTTGAGCAAGGCAGGCCTTGCTGCCAGGCAACCTTGCATCACAAGGGGTTGGACTAGATTGGGGCAGCCCAACTATTCATACCAAGTGGGCTTCAAGAGAACTTCGACACAGAATCAAAATCCTTGGGCAGCTGAAATTTCTCTGCCCCGCGCTTACCATGCCACCCCATGGAGTAAGGGAAGGAGATCTGGAAGAGGTTGTCGTACTTGGTGAGAAGCCTCTTCATGATGGAAGCCAGGCCTGAAACGCAGGAGACCAAGAGATATCAGCCCGCTTGCCTTGTGTGCGGAATCTTGCTCAGAAAGCTTCCGTGGATTAAGATCCTTCATATAAAGCTCACAGCCCAAGCTCTGGCCAGCAGCAGGAATCCCACCTGGGGCATCTTTCCCAGGTAACAATTGCACTGATTCTGCTGTGGCCGCCCAGTCTCAACCTGGCTCCATCAGTCAAGCCCACCTGAGACACAAGGCCGATAACATGCACAGGGCAACAGTGATGGAGCTGCTCTCAAGCATCATCACAAAGTTCGGTGGACCAGGAAGAGGCCCTTCATGGCTTGAATGTGGCCCCATAGATCAAATCATCTATCCTTGACCTTAAAAGACCCCTCCAGGTGCTCTGGCCCACCTGCTCTCAAAGACCTTCAGCAGGTGACATATTTGTTTATTTAATTGCACTTACAGTCTTCCCTTTTCCTACAGGGAGATTGAGGCGGCGTATGTGGTTCACCCCACGGCTTTTTGTTTTCAGGAAAAATAGGTGCCAGAACGCACCATGAACTACTGCAATGCGCTCTACGTGGGGCTGCCTTTGAAGGTGACCCAGAAACTACAACTAATCCAGAATGCGGCAGCTAGAATGGTGACTGGGAGTGGCCGCCGAGACCACGTAACACCGGTCTTGAAAGACCTACATTGGCTCCCAGTACGTTTCCGAGCACAATTCAAAGTGTTGGTGCTGACCTTTAAAGCCCTAAACGGCCTCGGTCGTGTATACCTGAAGGAGTGTCTCCACCCCCATTACTCCGAGGGCCTTCTGGCAGTTCCCTCACTGCAAGAAACCAAGTTACAGGGAACCAGGAAGAGGGCCTTCTCGGTAGTGGAATGCCCTGTGGAACACCATCCCACCAGATGTCAAAGAGAAAAACAACTACCAGACTTTTAGAAGACATCTGAAGGCGGCCCTGTTTAGGGAAGCTTTTAACGTTTAACAGACCACTGTATTTTAATACTTTGTTGGAAGCCGCCCAGAGTGCCTGGGGAAACCCAGCCAGGTGGGTGGGGTACAAATAATAAATTCTATTCTATTCTATTCTATTCTATCTAGAGGTCTTAGCAGACCACAAACTTCACCTGAGTCAATGGTGTGATGCAGCAGGAAGAAAAAAAGATTCTATGATTCCTGTATTGGGCGGGGCATAAATAATTATTATTATTATTATTATTATTATTTTGTTACAGTAAGTTGTTGGGCAACTCGGGGTAGCCCTAAACAGTTGCCAGCTTGACAACATCTGTGCCTCCACCTTCCCTTGCACACACATACCTCACACCTAAGTGTGCAGGTTCTCCACTCATACTGTGCCAAGGGCAGTCTGTTCCTCTGGGAATGCCCCCTCTATTCCTTCTTCTTGGATTGTCCCTGCTTCCCTTGTCCCCACATTTCAGGGAGGCGACAGCGCCGGTTCCATGACCCCGCCCTCTTCCGCCCGGGCACTCACTGTCTCTTTCCCCGTCCTGGAGGTCCTGAAAGCGACGGACGTGTCGTCGTCGAGGAAGCAGGAGGGTCTGAAAAGGCCACACCGCCCAGTAGGGCACCACCACCACCCAGTCAGAGTTTTCCACCACAATCCGCTCCTGCCAGGGATCACAAAGAGGGGCTCAGCCACAGGTCCAAGCGCCACTGCCACCCTCCCCGCGCGCCAGGGGTCCCTGACCTTCCTCTCGGCTTCCAGCTGGGCATATTCGAGCAGCATGGGGGTGCCACGCTCGCAAAGGTGCTTCTGCTGCGTCCGGTCCTCCAGGGAGGCTTCGTTGGGCAGGAAATTGCTGGCCCAGACCTAGAGAGGGGACGAGAAGGGATGTATCAGTGCAGCCGGTCAATTCAAAAGCCTCCACGCTCAAGTCTAACCAACTGAGGCGTAGCGGCAGAACATCTGCTTTCAAGGCACAAGGTTCCAGGTAGGGCTGGGAAAGTCCCCTGCTTGGAACCCTGAAGTCACTTGCTAGTCAGGGTACATCTGACTCAGGGGAAGACAGCTTCCAATGCAACTTTCCCTGGAAAACACAGTGCCTCAAAGCACAGGCACAATTTACAGTAGGCTACTTGCAGGCTTACATTGCCACCATGTGGACAACATTTTAAGAGCAAGTAAGATAAAGGTAGAGACACCGGTGGCGCTGTGGGTTAAACCACAGAGCTTAGGACTTGCCAATCAGAAGGTCAGCAGTTCGAATCCCTGAGACGGGGTGAGCTCCTGTTGCTCGGTCCCTGCTCCTGCCAACCTAGCAGTTTGAAAGCACATCAAAGTGCAAGGAGATAAATAGGGTACCGCTCTGGCGGGAAGGTAAACAGTGTTTCCGTGTGCTGCTCTGGTTCACCGGAAGAGGCTTAGTCCTGCTGGCCACATGATCCAGAAGCTGTATGCCGGCTCCCTCGGCCAATAAAGCGAGATGAGCGCTGCAACCCCAGAGTCAGCCACGACTGGACCTAATGGTCAGGGGTCCCTTTACCTTTACCTTTAAGATAAAGGTAAAAGGTAAAAGACTCCTGGACGGTGAAGTCCAGTCAAAGGTGACTATGGGGTTGTGGCACTCATCTCACTTTCAGGCCGAGGGAGCCGGCATTTGTCCACAGACAGCTTTCTGGGTCATGTGGCCAGCATGACTAAACCATTTTTGGTGCAACAGAACACTGTGACAGAAACCAGAGCACACCGAAACGCCATTTACCTTCCTGCTGCAGCGGTACCTATTTACCTACTTGCACTGGTGTGCTTTCGAACTGCTAGGTTGGCAGGAGCAGGGACAGAGTAACGGGAGCTCACTCCATCCTGGGGATTTAAACCGCCAACCTTTTGATCGGCAAGCCCAAAAGGCTCAGTGGTTTAGACCACAGCACCACCCGCATCCCCTGAAAAGCAACGACAAGGAGGACGTTCCACATGTCGAATCATAGAATTGGAAGGGACCCCCAGGGGCCATCTACACCAACCCCCCGCCCCCACAGTGCAGGAATCTCAACTAAAGAATCCCTGACTTTTGGCCATCCAACCTCTGCTTGAAAACCTCCAAGGTAGGAGAGTCCACCACCTTCCAAGGGAGTCTGTTCCACTGTCCAACAGCTCTTACTGTCAGCATGTTCTTCCTGCTGTTTAGTCAGAATCGCCTTCTGTGCCATTTGAACTCACTGGTTTGGGTCCCACCCTCTGAAGAGCCACGACCAGTCAGTGGAGGCAACACTGAGCTAACTGGCTCAGTAGAAGGCAACTTCCTAGAAAGCCTCCTTACCTGGCAGTGAGGGTGGGGGTTGGAACAGCCCATCATGGCTCCTTTGTTCTCAAAGATCTGTAAGGAGGAAAAGGAGCAATCTTATGCAACCTCATGACTGGTACCTCTCAAACCCCCTTTGAACTGACCAGTGGCCAAAGTTCCAAGGCAGGGAAACTGGTTCCCTATTCTGGATTCTTAGTGAAATTGTGCTTTTGTACAGTAAGCCGATTTCTACACACCCACAAGTCCCTCTCTAGCCTACCCCCAGGCTAACAAGAAGCAGGGACAGAGTTGAAAGATGCATTGCAGCCAGGCAAAAATGAAGAGGACGCCAAGGCAGATCAGCTCAGGAGAGTGTCTGGCCTTGGGAGAACCCCATGGGCCAGTTAGAGAGGCTAAGGGTTCCCCATTCCTGCTCCAGATCACTCGCCATTTTTGCCTTCTAACTATTGCTTCTCTCCAGGAAGAATGGACAGCCTAAAAAGGGATGGAGCAGGTGATAATGTAAGAACTAAGAGCCTGTTGGATCAGGCCCAAGGCCCACCTAGCCCAGCATCCTGTTCTCACAGTGGCTAAGCAGCTGCCATTATGGGAGACCCACAGAGCAGGATCCGATCACAAGAGCCCTCTCCCCTCTCCTGTGGTTTCCAGTAATTGCTATTCAGAAGCATTGCTGCTTCCAACCATGGGGGCAGAGCGTAGCCATCATGGCTAGGAGCCATCATGGCTTTCTGCAGCAGCAGGTTCTGTAGTTTAACTATGCTCTTGGTCATTAATTGAACTAGCCCCGCTGTACACCCGGGAGGGCTGTGTGGGGAGTCTCTTCCTTTAAATTCCTAGGAGTTTATCTCAGTGAAGACCTTACTTGGAAAATCAATACAACCCAGGTGGTTAAGAAAGCCACCATCTCCTCAAAATATTGCGAAAGAACAATGTCAATCAACATTTGATGATCTCCTTCTACCGGTCAACAATAGAAAGTGTCCTTTCCTACTGCATCATGCTGTGGTACGATGGTTTGACATCAACTGATAGGAAGTGCCTACAGAGGGTGGTGAATACAGCATAAGATATTATGGGCTGTCCCATGAATCCGCTGGATGAAATAGCGGAAGAATGTTGCCTCAGGAGAGTAAGGAAAATTCTCAGGAATGATTCACACCCTGGCCAGCACTTTCTTGATCTCCTGCCCTCAGGCAGAAGATATAGAAGCAGGATTAGTCGCACCAACAGGGTAAAGAACAGCTTCTATCCATGGGCTGTTAGGCTGCTGAATGAAAAGATAACAACAGGGCAACGGACTTTCGGGTTTGGTGGGTGTGCGTCAGCAAACGAGGGGAATTAAGACTAAGAGAGCTGAGTGGGGGGTGCTCCTGTAATCTCAACTGTACAAGTGACAACAAAGTATTTCAATTTCAATAATGTGAGGGTTAGTAAGAATAAAGTCTTGGGGCAGGAGGGGTTGTGGTGGTTGGCCAAGGTAGGTCCTTTCAGCAACTGACCTGCACCCACGAGTAAGAGGCACCCAGCTCCACAGCTATCTCCGACCACTTGTCAATCACGCTGCGGATCTCGGCAAGTGACATGAGGGGCAGAGTCATGTCAGACCAGGGGTGGAAGCACATCACTTTGCTGGGAGGAAAGGGAAAAGGAGAAGGAGCAGAGATCCTAGAATCAAGTGGCTGGAAGGACCCAGGTCACCCTATCCAGCCCAAACTCTGCCCATGGGTAACAAACATAATCCACACTAGTCTGCATCCCAAGTACAGGACAGGTCTGAATGAGGTATGAAACTCTTAAGTGGCTGCAGAGCAAACAACTCCACATTTTAATTCGTAGAAAGTATACTACTTAATTACAGTCATACCTCGGGTTACAGATGTTTCAGGTTGCGTTTTTTCAGGTCATGGACCGCCGAAACCCAGAAATACTGGATGGGTTACTTCCGGGTTTCAGCGGTCACGCATGCGCAGAAGCGCTAAATCAAGCTTTGCGCATGCACAGAAGAACTGAATTGCAACCTGCACATGCGCAGCCGCGCCGCTGTGGGTTGTGAACGCTGCGGGTTGCGAACGTGCATCCCACACGTATCACGTTCGCAACCCAAGAGTCCACTGTATATATATATATATATATATTTAAACACAAAGCGGTTTACAAAAAGAGTAAAATAGCAGAGGTGGCCTTGCGATCCCTGGAACTAGAAATCATGCATTTTCTAGAAGTCATGCATATGGAAGTAGAAAGCCAGACTGTTGGGCAAATCATGATACGATGGAGGCAAGGCAAGACAAGCCGAGGAATTCCTACTCTGCAAAAACTGTTCGCAGTTCCTGGAAAAGGCAGAGAGAAGGACTGGGCCAAGAAGGGAAAAGTGCAAAAAGAAGCAACACAAGGGAACCCTAAGCCAGCCATTCGGCTCAGCAGGAGGGCAGGGCTGGGGAACACAAGGTGCCGGATTTACCACACGCCTCGAGCGGACGCTGCACGGAACAAGGGGTGGTCGCCAGCATCTGGGGAAGGAGAGGAAATCCAGTGAGAAACGCAGGGAGGTGGGCAACGGGTGCAGTCCAGGAAAGGCAGGAAGAAGCCAGCGTACCAGGAGGTGGCACAGCTGCGACGTCAGCCTCCCCCAGACCCCACAAATTCATCTTCTAGCCCAGCGAGGGACTTGTCATCAGTGCTACTGCTCGACTGCAATCCTGCCTGCCACATCCTGCAGTGAACTCTGCTACCCCCAACTTAGGAGGGACTTTCAGGCCCAATGTATATGGTGCACACTGTGAAGGGCAAGCGAGAGGTTTGTACACTCATACCTCCTCTTGCAAATGCTTCATGTTAAGTTTTTTCAGGTTAAAAATGCAGCAAACCTGGAAGTGTTTACTTCCGGGTTTTGCCGTGCGCTGCACGTGCACAAATGTTCTGTGTGGTTCGTGGATGCGCAGAAGCGCTCTATTGCGCTTTGCACATGCGCAGAAGTGCCACTCTGGTTACGGACTTTTCAGGGTGCGAACAACACCCCAGAACGGATCGTGTCTGCAACCAGAGGTACCACTGTTCATGGTGGTGCAACATCCCCTCAGCATACAGTGGTACTTCGGGTTACATACGCTTCAGGTTACATACGCTTCAGGTTACAGACTCCACTAACTCAGAAATATTACCTCCGAAATATTAAGAACTTTGCTTCAGGATGAGAACAGAAATTGTGCAGCGGCGGCATGGCAGCAGTGGGAGGCCCCATTAGCTAAAGTGGTGCTTCAGGTTAAGAACGGACCTCCGGAACGAATTATGTTCTTAACCCGAGGTACCACTGTATTGTAAATCAACAAGGGGAAACTGTTCCTAATCCTGGACTACACAGAGATGTCACACTGCATGGATGCCTGCTGACAGCTCAGGAATTGACAGTGGATCTCCATGGATGGAGGGGTATCTTTAAGTGCAGCAAACAGCACAAAGAAGATCCCATTATTCTGCAGACTTCAACCATGGCTCTCCACAGTGCAGGCGCATCCAGCATGAGGTGGTCCCAGGCCCTTGCCTGTTTTGCACAGAAGCAGTAAGCCAATTGAGGCGCTCCCCAAGAGCACCCGACCGACCCCTGGAATGGAATGCTGGACTGGATGGGCCCTTGGCCTCATCCAGCAAGGCTCTTCTCGTGCCAATACCTTACATTTAATCTTTGTATTGTATTGGTTGTGTTTAGAATAGATTTAGGAAAGATTTAGAAAACTTATTGATTAGAATATTTGTATGAGATTGTATGGGGAAAATACGGGATAACAGATATAATTTTGCTTAAAATGTATATAGGAAGTGCATGGAAGCGATGGAAGCCAATCAATGAAATTTTATTACTGAGATATTTGTAGAATAAGTCTGGAAGAAATTCTTCCAACTTTTCTTATTCTTCTTTTTCTCCTTATTTTTTCTTTTCTTCCTTTTTTATGTGCGTGTGCTTATCTGAAATATGTATGTATGTATTTGCAGTATTTTGTTTGTATTTTGTAATAATTATGTTAAATATTTTTTGTAAAAAAAAGGCTCTTCTCATTGCATCCTGCCTGTCAGAAAAGACAAGAGCCCCTCTCAGAGTACTTTAGCAACTTTTGTCACATCAGGATGAGCCTTTGAAACAAATCCAACCAAGATGAGCTCCTTTCCCTCCATCCACAGTCCCCTGGGACATCCATGGGCAGCTAACATTTTACAGCTATATCACAGACCCTCAACTTTGAAAAAATGCTGCAACCTGCAGCAGAACTGCCACGTGTCTTTTTTCTCTCTGACAAGGCCCTTCTGCTTTTAACTGCTGGAATCCTTACAGCTGAACAGGTAGCCCTTCCAGAAACAAGAACACACAGCAACCCTAACTGGAAGCTATTCACTATATTAACAAAGGTTCCTGGCTCATTCCATGCGGAGGAGGACTCATTAAATGGGTTCTCCTTGAGCCTCATCTTCCTTGGTAAACGGTTAAGTGCTAATAAGAAAAACCAGGCGAATTCTTACCAGGCTCCGGGGCATCTGGCTGCAGTGCAGGGAAGTCGTTGTCAAAGACAAACGTGCTCTCGTAGTGGGGATTCACCTGCATGAGGAAAAACACAGCAAAACACAGATTGCAGTCAGGCTGCTGAGCTGTAAGACCGTAGGGCCGCAACTTTAGTTTCAACTCTCTACCAAATATTTCCAAGATTTTAGTCTTTAGGACCAGGGAGGAAATTCCCCAAGAATTGAGAGGACAGGGAAGAGAGAGTCAGTCATACCTGCAACCATAAAATCCAATGAAAACCAAATTCTGCTTTATTGGGATTCCAATATTTCAATTTGGACAGGATGTGCTATTTTCTGGAGGAACTTGTTAGAAAACGGTTCTCATGGGGTGATGGTGGAGAGCAGAATGATTTCGGAGAGCTGTGCTGGACAGTAAAAAAAAATTAACCCGCCCCACTACTCCTGATGTTTCTGTGTAAAGCCTCATGTTGGCTTTTGACTGTCCTGCAGACACTGCTGGAGAGTATATTAAAAAAATAAAAATCGCAGGCACAAGATAACAGGCTCTTTCTGCTTCACAACATATAGGGGGTCTATTAGCCAGTGTCGTGTAGTGGTTAGAGTGTTAGACTCGGACCTGGGAAACCAACGTTAAAATCCCCTCGTATCCATGAGCTTACCTGGGTGAATTTAGGCCAGTCACTGTCTCTCAGCCTAGCCTAATTCATAGAGTTACTATGAGGTTAAAACTGGGGAGGAACAGAGGCAGGCATTCCTCTTTAAGTATGTGGAGAAAAGGTGGGATGTAAAAGTGATAAATAAACACAACTGATGGTTATGAACTGATTTATGGCCTCCATGCAGGTGGTGCTGTGGGTTAAACCACAGAGCCTAGGACTTGCCGATCGGAAGGTCGGCAGTTTGAATCCTCACGACGGGGTGAGCTCCCGTTGCTCAGTCCCGGCTCCGGCCAACCTAGCAGTTCGAAAGCACGTCAAAGTGCAAGTAGATAAATAGGTACCACTCCAGCGGGAAGGTTTCCGTTTCCTTGCGCTGCTCTGGTTCGCCAGAAGCAGCTTAGGCCTGCTGGCCACATGACCCGGAAGCTGTACGCCGGCTCCCTCGGCCAATAAAGCGAGATGAGCGCCACAACCCCAGAGTCGGCCACGACTGGACCTAATGGTCAGGGCTCCCTTTACTTTTACCGTTTATGGCTTCCATTGAGGATTGAGGGTGGTCCATGCAGCCAAAGGGGCCTGTATCGCCCTCCCTGCCCCTGGCAACGCAGTACCTGGCCATTGGCTCTCTTGGCTCCGGGGCACAAAGGGTTGCCCGGATCACAGCGTGGGATGTCCTCCTGGGGCGGCTTCTCCACCTGCCCCTGCCACGGGCGCCGCATGCGGTGGGCAGAGACCAGCACCCAGTCATCGCGCAAGGGGTTGTAGCGCAGGTGCTGGTGCTCTGGAGAGGGAGGGAGCAGAGTTAGAGACGCAGGAACACAAGGCGGGGGACAGGCGGCTAGGGCACCACCACGACCCCTAGGACCCCCATCCCCTTTAGCCCTGCCTGTCTCCCTGACCACAGACCCCTCCACGTCATGACAGAAGCCCCGCCCCTCCAAGGCAAGCCCCACCCACCACCCCAATCAGCAGCAGGCCCCTCCCATTTAAGGCAAGCTCCACCCACACATAAGAACAAGCCCCTCCCCTCCAAGGCAAGCCACACCCACCACCCCAATCAGCAGCAGGCCCCTCCCATTCAAGGCAAGCTCCACCCACACATAAGAACAAGCCCCTCCCCTCCAAGGCAAGCCACACCCACCACACCCAGCAGCAGGCCCCTCCCATTTAAGGCAAGCTCCACCCACACATAAGAACAAGCCCCTCCCCTCCAAGGCAAGCCACACCCACCACCCCAATCAGCAGCAGGCCCCTCCCATTTAAGGCAAGCTCCACCCACACATAAGAACAAGCCCCTCCCCTCCAAGGCAAGCCACACCCACCACCCCAATCAGCAGAGACCTCCATAGGCCCCTCCCCTCACAAGGACAAGCCCACCACCCACCACACCCAGCAGCAGGCCCCTCCCATTCAAGGCAAGCTCCACCCACACATAAGAACAAGCCCCTCCCCTCCAAGGCAAGCCACACCCACCACACCCAGCAGCAGGCCCCTCCCATTTAAGGCAAGCTCCACCCACACATAAGAACAAGCCCCTCCCCTCCAAGGCAAGCCACACCCAGCAGCAGGCCCCTCCCATTCAAGGCAAGCTCCACCCACACATAAGAACAAGCCCCTCCCCTCCAAGGCAAGCCACACCCAGCAGCAGGCCCCTCCCATTCAAGGCAAGCTCCACCCACCTCCCCTCGCAACAAGCCCCTCCCCTCCAAGGCAAGCCCCGCCCTTCTGCATATCAACCCTCGTCTCCTTGGCAACAGCGCCCTCCCACCCCGTGACAGCGGGGCGAAGACCGGCCTCTCAACTCCCAAGCCCCCCCCCCTCCACCGCGCTCTCCCTGCAGGTGGTACCGCTGGGCTGGAACTTCTCCGCCATCCTCCGCAGCTTCCTTCTCTCCGGCACCGCCAGTCCATCACGTGACCATCACGTGAACCTGCCCCGAAGGGCGCGCGGGTCAGCCCGAGGCGCCGGACGCACGCGGTTGGCCGAGCCGCCTCACGTGACAGAACGCGCGGTGGGCGGTGCCCGGGGTTGGCGGGGGAGGAGCGAGCAGACGCGCGCGCGAAGCGGCCTTCGAAGAGCGTCGCCCCGGATCGCCATTGGCGGGGACGCTCGAGCGTCTTCTGCCGCCATTGGCCGGCGGGCGCTGCGCGGGGCGTGATTGGCCGGCCGTCCTGAGGCGGCGAGGCTCGCCATTGGCTCTGCTCGGGGTTTGTCCGGCTGCCCTTGGCGCAGGCGCGGTAGCCCCGATCCGCCTCCTCCTCCTGCTGCTGCTGCCGCTTCGTCTCCTTCTCCTTCCCCAGCGTCTTCGGGATGCGGTGGCTGCCGGCGCCGCGCTGGGCCGGGCGCTTCGCGCGGGGGGCGGTGGCCGTGACGGCGGCGGCGGCGCTGCTGGTGGGGGCGCTGCGCTGCTGGGTCGCCCTCTCGGCCTCGTCGCGCCGCTTCGAGTTCGACCCCGAGGAGATCGCGCGCCTGGCCAAGCACCACGCAGGCGCGTCACGGGGGGAGGGGGGGCCTCCCCGGGCAGGGGAGAAGGGGCTGGTCGGGGTCTCTGTCTCGGGGTTCTTTGGCTGAGAGATCCGCCAGGCAGAAATGTAGTAAACAGAAATAATAATAATAATAATAATGGGGTTTTTCAGCTGCCCTTGCTTTTAATTCGGAAGGCGCCATGAGTTCCTGTCAGGGTGTAAATATTTAGAGTGGTACCTCGGGTTACATACGCTTCAGGTTACAGACTCCGCTAACCCAGAAATAGTGCTTCAGGTTAAGAACTTTGCTTTAGGATGAGAACAGAAATTGTGCTCCGGCGGCATAGCGGCAGCAGGAGGCCCCATTAGCTAAAGTGGTGCTTCAGGTTAAGAACAGTTTCAGGTTAAGAACAGACCTCCAGAACGAATTAAGTACTTAACCCAAGGTACCACTGTATATGCTGTGAACTGCCCTGAGATATATACAAATATAATAAATTTAAATAAATATGTGATGGTAAGGATACACCTCACTTCTTGGTTGTTGAAAATGCATGGTGTGGTTTGCCTTAAAAACAAACAAACCCTAACCAATGAAATTACCAATAAGGTAAAAAAAATCATTGGTGGTGCTTTGAGGCTTTCGAAAATTTAAAACAGCCATAGGTCAAAATTTGGAGTGACTTTCTAAACACTGGTGTCCAGCCCTGCTTCAACCCAGAGGCCGGGCAGCCGTCTGCCAGGGCTGCTTTAGTTGTGGCTCCTGCACTGCAGAGGGTGAGCCTTTGAGGTGCCCTTCCAACTGTACATTTCTTTGACTCCCGGTGGGCTTTTGAGGGGGAAGAGCCGTTTGTTTTAACTTCAACTCATTTCTTTTTTAAAGGAAAGGTGTGGCGTGAAAGGTTTTGGATGAATTGAAATGCATAAATGTTTTCAGATCTATGGAGGAGGCGGCGTTTGCTTGGCCTTTTCCAGTCTACCTCAGGCAGCACCTTCCCTTCCATCTCTGTTCTTCCCTTTGAGAGGCTGACTCCTGGCTGCCCCAGAACACACAAAACATCTCAGCCTGCTGGATGTTAATGGAAAAATCAACAGGGAGCAGCTGTCTGAATCCCAGCTTGCTGGCCCTTGCTTGGCCACTGTCAGGGATTGTGTTTAGGGAGACAGGTCTTGCCAAGTGAAACAGTTTCGGGACTAAATAATTAGTTTTTAAGACTTGCTACTGATCTCTTACACGCTCAGACCATGTAAAGTCAAATGCTGATGGTGTGGATGGGCTCTCTGCTTATTCTAAGAGGGAGTCATCTGATCTGTTCTACCCAACAAGGGATAGAAGCTTCATTTCCACTTTCACAAGAAAGGGAGGCTGTCCTCACTAGGACTCAGTGTTGCTTTCCCCCCCTGTTTCCTACAGGCCTGGACCACGAGTTGGCTTTTTCCAAGATCATTGTGGAACTGCGCAAGAAGCATCCAGGACACATCCTGCCAGATGAGGACTTGCAGTGGGTGTTTGTCAATGCCGGTGGCTGGATGGGTTCCATGTGCCTGCTCCATGCTTCCTTCTCTGAGTACGTTCTGCTCTTTGGCACAGCCGTCGACGCTGGGGGACACTCAGGTAAGCTAGATTGACCCACACAGGATGCTGATATAGAGGGTCAGAGACAAAGGTTTCTCTCTTCAAGCATCAGGAGAATAGAATTGGCTCCTAAGTTTAGAGGCGGTTTTATGTTTGACCTGCAATTTCATTGGTGGTGTTGGTGCAGATTATGCAGTCCATTTGGATTTGGGCACAAGGAACATTACTTCATACGCGTGTTCTGCATCCATATGCATTTTTAGCCAGAAGTAGATCCTCTTACAAATGGTAGAGCTTTTTCCCAAGTGCATATTTGAGCATTAACCATAAAGGGTGGATGTCGGCAAGCTGCTGTGTCTCAGTGCACATCCTGTAGAATTCAGAGTGATATGTTTGCAGCTGGCTCACCTGCTTAAACAGGCTGCCACATTTTGCACCAACTGCAGCTTTTGGATCATCTTCAAGGGTGGCCTCAAGTAGAGAGCTTTACATTAATTGAAACAGGAGGTTAATAGCTGGCAAATCAACCAGAGCTGGTAATAGGCACTCTGCCCCACTGACACCATTTGGTCTTCCGCTCCATCGAGACCTGATTGGCTATTCAATTCTTGAAGGCAGGAGCCACCTTTCCACATTTCTTCCTTTGGTGTAATCCACCCTGCCGCTAGTCTCTCCGTCCCCCACTTCCTCACCAAAGGATAAGACCTCTACAGCTGGCGGAGGATGAGATTTTGGCATTGCTTTCTCCACCTCCCTCCAAACCAGCAGTTACAGTAAGAGTAATCAAATCTCGTCTACTGAGTTGCGTTGCCTCTTAGTCCTTAACTGCTACTGGGTGCTGTTTCTTCCCTTGCAGGTCGATACTGGGCCGATATCTACGATACCATCATCTCGGGGACCTTCCGGCAGTGGAAAGAAGGAACAACCAAAAGTGAGATCTACTACCCAGGTGAGTTGCGTGTTCCTTGTAAGGTGATGCTTCTGTGGGGGGAGGAGCAGGACGAAACTCTTTAAGTGTTGTTGCCTGTTTGTGCAGGAGATACCATCATCCACCGATCTGGAGAGGCCACGTCAGTGCAGTGGAGTGCCGGCACATGGATGGTGGAGTACGGCCGCGGTTTCATCCCTTCGACGCTCCCCTTTGCCCTTGCTGACACAATCTTCAGCACTCAGGACTTCCTCACCCTCTTCTACACTGTGCGTGTTTACGTCAAGGGGCTGCTCCTGGAGCTCAATGCCTACTTCAGCGACTCGGGCTAGTGAGCGCTCGCTGCTCCTTGGCTCCAAGTCAGTCATCATCCCCCTTGAAATGGAAGGCTCTCCTCCCTCATTGCCTCCCCTTGGCTGTGCTGTGTACTAGAGAGCAGTGGTGTACCTCGTGTGTTCAGAAATACCCACACAATACTGGGAGCATCATACATGTTTCAGCAGGCATAGAGAGGGCTCTACCAGCAGTAAGAGGGAATCCTATCTTCCTATCTTTCAATACCTGAATGCTTCCTTCATGTATTTCTGTAAGTCTGCTGTGCTCTGCAAAGTGATTTAATGGGTGCTTTAATGGAAATGTGGACGGCCAAGATTCAGGGTTTCTTTGGCCATGCATAAACGAGAGAGAGGCTGTTGCATTACATTCTGGGTGTGATTGAGCCACCTTAGGATGCAACCTACTGAGCTCATGTCAGTGCATGGCTTTTTCTTTTTCTTTTCTTTTTGGGGGGATGGGGGTGCTTGAAACATATATACACATACCACCATCTCTAGAAATGAATGGTGTTGGAGCAGCAGCAGTACAATGAGAGTCTCTGAGCTCCCCCAGTATATTTGCACTACTGTTTAACACAGACCAAAAAAAAAATACTTCCTGCTAAATTTTGATCCTCTCCTACCCACCCCGCTTGATTTGACATGGGCATTTTCCTGTTCCTCTGTCGGTAGGTGTGGTTGGTTCTGTGGGGCCTGCTGTGTGGGGCACTTGGCTCTTGGTCTGTGTTTGTAACATGACTTTTCCTGTATGTCTTAATCCCCACGGGGCCAATGTCTGGGAGGGAGCTGCCTTCCATCCTCAAAATGGGTTGCACGTTCTCAAGAGGACCTCATCCAGTTTTATCCTGTAATACTAATACGGAGAGCCACTGTCCATCGCCTTAACTTAGAGCCTTACTCTGGTGGCCTCTTCAGCTATGCACGCATGTGTAGATATATAGATATATATTTGTATACCTCTTAGTGTTGATGTCTGTGGCAGGATGCCATATGGCCACTGTTCCCAGGGATGGTTTTTGATTCAACCCTGGGGTGAGAATCTCTGTTGGACCAGACACTGCTCTTATTTCTTTTTTTCTTCCACAGTTCCTAATTGGGCTTGAGCCCAAAGGTAGAATTTTTAGGCTCAAAATTCAACTGGGTTTGGGGGGGGCGGGGAGGTGTAGGGCCAAACCCAGGGATGATTTCATGGGGGTGGCAAAACTGGGTGAAAAGTTTGCTTCGGCTTCCTGTTGGGTGGCCATAGTGGTAGCATTTGCTCTTCTCTCTTTTTCTTTCCACTGTTTCTTTAGCAAAGACAGAACTCTTCTTTACCAAATGTCAGTTGCAAACCCCCACCCTGGTATAGTAAAGTTCCAGAATATTTGGATGGTTGGGAGGGGGAGAGAACTGGAAGCCCCAAGAGGAGGAGAGTTTTTAAGGACCCCTCTCACATATTGTGCAAACTGCCTGCCTTTAAGTTGCCTGCAAATGGGACTATGAAATGGGGCGTGGTTGCCCTAGCCGTAGTTCCAAAGGTTTTGATAGATCATGTATCTCTGCCCTAACCACTTCCTCTTAGCACCTAATAACCGTGTTCTTCAGATAACTGACTGCAGAAGAAACCTTCCTTTCCCCTGCAAATGGAATCTTATTTGGTGGCAGGGCCACCTCAAAAAGTTAAGGATTGCAGAAGCTGTGCTTGCCAGCTCTCAGACCTTGTTCCCACCTCTGTCCTTCCAAACCATAGTTTCTTCTTTCCAGTCTTTTCACTTGAAACCTGTTGTAACTGGGCAGGATGTTTGTCTTCCACCCCTATCTATCATTTACCCTCAGTTCCTTCGCTTTTCTTCCTGGGTATTCCATCTAGTTCCTATGTGTGCAAATAGAGACTTCTTTTGACTTGGGTCGTGTTTGCAGCAGTTCCTGTTCAAGAGGGAAAGAGAGAGAGCTCAGCTGGAGTGCTGGCGTTCCCCACAGTTGCTGACAACCTTCCTGGGCTTTCTCCCCACCCATGACAACACAGCGCTTGCATGGGGAGGCAACAGAGCAGACTGCATGATCCAAGCCGGTCTTGCAGTTTATTCCTTTTGGCTGTTTTGGTGGCAGGTGACAAGTGCAGCTAAAATGCCCGAACCCCTCCTGCAAGAAGCAGCTGCGTAGGTGTGCCTTTAGAAAGGTCACCCCAGGTGCTCAAATCTGTGTACTTGGTATGCTTTTGTCTAAAAACCCTGGAGCCAGGTGCTAGCTTACCTAATGGTCCCAGCTGATTAGCAAGCCTTAGAACCTGAAAGGGCAGCTAGTTCCCCTTCTTTATTCTACCCACCCCAACTTCCCCTGGGGCTGAACACTTCTTTATTTGAATCAGGATGCAGTAATGGTTGCCAGCAGCTGACCTGTTTGCAGGCTTCCTCTGTCCCAGCTTCTGCTAGCTCCTGTCAGAGGAGTCCCACGGGCTAGCGTTAGCAGCGGCTGAGAATCAGATTCATTTCCAGTACAGTATCCTTGTCACCATCAGCCAAACACGTAGCATGTGTCTGGTTACCGTCTCAGTTACTGCAACTGTGCCTCCGTGCACAGCCGACCTGGGTCTTTCGTTTGCCAACCAGTGTTTGAGAATAAATTGGTGTGTATGATTGTTATACTTTGACAAAAAGATAATATAATGAACCATGATTAAACTCGCCGTTGTGTGTCTGCTTTTGTTATTGATTGTTGAAAACAGTGGCAAAATGAATGTTTGCTTCATATTGGTCTTTGTAGGGCAACTGCGAGCTGGAAAGTGGATCTGCGTGACTTTCTTTCCAGATCCTTGGTAGATGTTCAGGCTCATTTGTCACACCTCATCCTGCAAGGCCCCCATGCATTTCCAAGACATGCGTCTTTTCCACTGGAAGAAACAAAAAATGATGCCTTATTAGTTGGCTTAACATTGATTTTAAGGGGGGGGGGGGGTCCCTCATGCAGAATTAACACTTTCCCAGCAAGGATTAAAGATGAGAGAGAGAAATACGAGAGAGTGAAGGGTAAACTGTCTGCAGGATTATGGTGATCCCTGGAGTAGAGGAGTACTCCTTGGAATTTTGATTAATAAAAACTGTAAAACTTGTCCCTCAGCAGGAACTAGATTTGCCTGTCTCCAGACACTGAACTTACAGGTGCCATCGTTCAACAGCACAGGTGTCACTGAAAGGCCTTTAGGACACTTAAGTTTTGAAAGGGTCATCCTTTGAGTATATAATGTTTTGAGCATATAATGCCAATCCTCTGGGCCCAATTCAAAGTGCTGGTTTTGACCTAGATTCAGGTAGGTAGCCGTGTTGGTCTGATGCAGTCGAAATAAATAAATTGTCCAGTAGCACCTTAGAGGCCAACTAAGTGTGTTCTAGGTATAAGCTTCCATGTGCATGCACACTTGCTAATGGACAATTTTTTTTATTTATTTTGGTTTTGACCTATAAAACTGTAAATTGCTCAGGACTGCAATGTCTCAAGGACCACATCTCCCCATATGAACCAACTCGGACCCTGTGATTATCATCTGAGACCTTTCTTCATGTGCCTCCTCTACACAAGAACGGGGTTTTTCTGTGGTGGCTTCCCACTTGTGGAAGGCTTTCCCCAGGGAGACTTGCCTGACACCTTCATTACATATCGTTAGGTGCCAGGCAAAAACAGTCCTCTTCTCCCAGGCCTTTGATTAAACCATCAATGGCCTTTTAAACTGGGTGGGTGATGTTTTTTTTAAGATGGTATGTATTTTTGTGTTTTTCTAATGTAAACTGCCCTGTGATCCTCGGATGAACGATGGTATAGAAATTTTATAAAACGTCATGGAATTGTAGAATTCAAAGGGACCACAAGGGCCATCTAGTCCAACCACCTGCAATGCGTGAATCTTTTTGTGCAATGTGGGGTCAAACCCATAACCCTGAGATAAAAAATCTCCTGCTCTAACAACTGAGCAACCCCATAGGTCAAAACAACCCCTCATGGGGTTTTATAATCGAAGTTCAATATTGATTCTTGCCCTAGAGGGTCAAGAGCAAGCTACTTGATTCTGTGCACTGTCTACCTAATTGCTGTTTTGCCCTCCTGCATCCAGTTGGCCTTTCTAGAGTGGAATACAGTGTCCTAAGTCAAGGAAATCCCTAGCTTGCGGAGTTAGTAGATAACATCTTCCTGAACAGATCTGATTGGATCATGAGGACACTACACTCACCCACTGCCCAACTGGTTGCTGAACTTTCTGCAGAGAATGTAACAGATTTGTCTGATGCTCAGAACATTTCTTATTTTGCCCTTTTCTGCTTTTAGTCATTTTTTAAAGAAAGGCACTGCATTAAAATGTTTAGTAACCAGGGACCAAGGTTCTTCTTACCTTGTTTCCTGCAGTCGAGCGACACCAGAACATCCGCCATGTAAATCTAGCCTCTCGACCACTTCTGACTCCTAATGCAACAGACCTTTCTTCCCTGTGAAGGCTCATTTTGCAGAATACCTGCCTGTTTCTCACAGCCCCGCATTCGGCTTCTTGGCTGTCAACAGGCTTGTAGTGTTCTCTCTTTTCCCCATTCCCTAAATGGAGGCAGGAAAAGGCTGGTGCCTATCTCAAAAGGAAAATCCCATGCTTGCTTTTTATTATTTGGAGTTTACAGGAGAAACGGGATAGCTGTTGCTGGGGCTTTATTCACTGGGTGCTTTTCCAGTTGTGAAACTACAACTAATCCAGAAAGCAGCAGCTAGACTGGTGACTGGGAGCGGCCACCAAGACCACGTAACAACGGTCTTGAAAGACCTACATTGGCTCCCAGCACGTTTCTGAGCACAATTCAAAGTGTTGGTGTTGACCTTTAAAGCCCTAAACGGCCTCGGTCCTGTATACCTGAAGGAGTGTCTTCACCCCCATTGTTCTGCCCGGACGCTGAGGTCCAGCGCCGAGGGCCTTCTGGCAGTTCCCTCGCTGCGAGAAGCCAAGTTACAGGGAACCAGGCAGAGGGCCTTCTCAGTGGTGGCCCCTGCCCTGTGGAATGCCCTCCCATCAGATGTCAAAGAGATAAACAACTACCTGACATACAGAAGATATCTGAAGGCAGCCCTGTTCAGGGAAGTTTTTAATGTGTGACATTTTAGTGTATTTTTGGTCTTTGTTGGAAGCTGCCCAGAGTGGCTGGGGAAACCCAGCCAGATGGGCGGGGTACAAATAATAAATGATGATGATGATGCCCAAAACACACGTTACTTTAGAGGGCAAGGTATGGATCTGCCTGAACCCCAGCTCATCCATGAAACCGTTCTATGCAGAAACCTCTAGGGGACAAGACAGCATGGACCTTCGACTGAGAGTTCCTTTGACTTTTTCCCTGCACCAAAAGAAGCAATGCATCCAATATGTGCTTCGTCTACTCCCTATGCCTCGTGAGACGTGGTTTGCAACCACCACTAGGTGACAGTGGTAAGGAGGGCCACTTTGGGGAGGGTGACAACCCACCCACTGGAAGTGGTTCTGTGGGTCACTTTTGCCTCCTTGCTACCTGCTGCTGGCAAAAGTGCCTAGGACTTGCTGATCAGAAGGTCGGCGGTTTGAATCCCTGTGACTGGGTGAGCTCCCATTGCTCGGTCCCTGCTCCTGCCAACCTAGCAGTTCGAAAGCACGTCAAAGTGCAAGTAGATAAATAGGTACCACTCCAGCGGGAAGGTAAACAGCGTTTCCGTGCGCTGCTCTGGTTCGCCAGAAGCATCTTAGTCATGCTGGCCACACAACCCAGAAGCTGTATGCCGGCTCCCTCGGCCAGTAAAGCGAGATGAGTGCCGCAACCCCAGAGTCGGTCACGACTGGACCTAATGGTCAGGGGTCCCTTTACCTTTACCTTTTTCAACCTGGTCTCTGGTGGACTGCATGTCCCATCAGCCCCCAGCTTGCTGAGTGGGCCCTGTGGGACTTCTAGTCTAAAAGGTGATTGGTATAGATGGTGTTGCTTCGATATCCAGTCATTGGACCTGCCACCAACCTTCCCCAGAGCGAACTTGCGTGCCTTGCTATATGTGGCTTCCTACAGTACTATTGCTTGCTAAAACTTACAACATGCGCCAGACATCACGGGAGTGATATCTACTGCTTCACTGCCTGCACTGTACCTTGATTTGAATCAAACCACCAATGTGTTCAATGTTTCTGGGCTCCAGCAGGTGGCCCTATTGCCCAGTTTAATGCCAGTCTCGCTGCCTGCGAGGACTCCTTAAATTTTATCCATGGAGATCAATTGCTGAAATTCCCCCACTTAAACAAGGAAATAAGCCCAAACCATTGTTTATCAAAAATTAGGTGCCACCTGATCCTGCAGTTTAAAAAATATATAAAATAAAGCATTGAAATCATTGATAAATAAAACAGGGATTTAAAAATATTCAAAGGATGGTTAAAATTAGCAGTAAAAAGAAAACACATGCAATTTCTACATGTCTGCTTTGGCTTGCCTTAAAAAACATTCTAAGTAGGTGCCAAAAAGAATACAGCAAAAGGGCCGGCCTCGTGTCAAACGGCAAGGAGTTCCAAAGTGTAGGTGATCCTACACTGAAATATAAAGTGTGGAATAATTTTCTGTGGTACCTGTAACAGGGCCAGTTCTGCAGATTAAAGCAGCTGATTGGGCATAAACTTAGTATGGGCTAAAGAAATCTTGCATGGAAACCAGCCCAAATCCGTTAAGGTTGCCATATACTAATAGCCTCCTTGGCGATTAGTATATGGCATAAGGTCGGCGGTTCAAATCCCTGCAACGGAGTGAGCTCCCGTTGCTCTGTCCCAGCTCCTGCCAACCTAGCAGTTCAAAAGCACACCAGTGCAAGTAGATAAATAGGTACCGCTGCAGCAGGAAGGTAAACAGCGTTTCCGTGCGCTCTGGTTTCCTTGACAGTGTCCCGTTGTGCCAGAAGTGGTTTAGTCCTGCTGGCCACATGACCCGGAAAGCTGTCTGTGGACAAATGCTGGCTCCCTTGGCCTGAAAGCAAGATGAGCGCCACAACCCCATAGCCGCCTTTGACTGGACTTAACCATCCAGGGGTCCTTTACCGTACCTTTTTACCATTAGGGTAATAGAAGGCTGTGTGTTAAAGATGATTAAAAAGCAAAAAATAAATAAAAATAAAAATAGAACCAGGCACTGTTCCAGGGCCAACATGACCCCTTCTGATCCAGGTGTTATGGGGAGACATAACATCTGGACAAACATATGCCATACTGTCGGCAACTTGCCCCCACACTCCTAATAACCCCTCCCAGCAACTTCTTGCAGATGTTGAATAGCATTGGGAATAGCATAGTTCCCTGGGGCTCCACACAGCATCACTGCCAGGGACCCCAACGCAGTGCTACTCTCTGGACTGCGTTCCATTGGTAGGAGTGGAAGTACTGGCGCACAGTGCCCCCCAAATCCCACTCCACCGTTGCTAACCAGTTGCCCCAGTGGGAAGCCTTGCTGGAAACTACAGGAAGGGAGAGGACTCTCGCGCTCCGATTCTGCTTGCGGTTTCCCACAGACATCTGGTCGGCCACTGTGAGAACAGGAGGCTGGACTAGGCGGGCCATTGGTCTGATCCAGTAGGCTTCTCTTATGTTAAGGTGTGGGAACAGCCTGGGAGCTGGTTGTCGTGCATATTTACTGCTTGTGAGATGCAACGTTCTGG